TCAGGCAGTTGGACTAGATGATCATTGTAGGGCCCTTCCAACTGAAATAGTCCTATTCTATTCTATTCTATTCTATTCTATTCTATTCAGCTTGTTGTCAGTTTTCCAGTTTTTCAGCTTGTTTCTGGAAGCTGTAGTCAATGGGGCAATATAATATATAATACCTCCTGCAGTGAAAAATGTGAATTTACACATGAAATTGTTATACTCCATTCTAAAATATCCCCAATACCACACTGTGTGAAGATAAAGTTGTTTCAGTTCCAGGTGTTGGTTGGAAAGTACAGTTTACCATGGGAGACATTGCTATGCTTAATGAAGTCTCCTTTATTTCTTACAGCTCTAAAAATGCTGTTTTGTAAATATATCAAGCTACATCCATATGAACACACATAGAGTACCTACATGGAGATTACAGTGCTGTAACTGTTTTTTAATCATTATCACTAATAATAATATGAAGTACATCATCATGCAGAGAAATGGGGTTTCTTTGGTTAGAGATGACATCTTCACAAAAGCAAACCAAAACCAAAGTCGAGCAATAGTTATCAATACCCATAGGGTTTTAATGGATTACTTTTTCTTCTGTGATACATGTGGAAGATAAAACCCAACAAAGATTGTTATTAATAATTCTTCTTTGTGTTAACTCAGCTGGAACATATCCTTAAGTCTTTCTGGTCTACTCAGTAGCATTTTGTTTCTTGTCCTTCATTAGCTGATGCCTGCAACCTGTTGGTTTCATCTTTTCTCTGTAACAAACAGACATAGTTTATACATAGATTTTTAACATTTTCTTACCACTAAAAGGAAAGACGTTAACATCACTTACAGTGATACATGCATATAGTTAACATTGCAGAACAATTAAATACAGTGGTTAAGCTTCAGTTATTAGAAGGTATGAATGTTCTCTAATAATTAAAGAAGCTATTTTCCTTCAGTGTTGCTTATATTCTAGTTCAGTCATAACATTTTACTATTCCTTATTCTCTCTCCTATGTTTCATACAGATGTGCTTAATCCACAGTTCTCTCAACCCTTGATTGGTTTCCTCTCTGTTTCAAACCTCTTTTAGCTTCTTGATAGCCTAAGATTCTTTCTGTTATTTATATGTGCTGTGCTTACATGTTTGCTTGAAAGAACACTAGTAATATCAACAATTACATTACTAGGTCTAGATGCTTTATGTTGTTGTATTTTTTCAGTTTTTCAAAACTTAATTCTGATTGATAAAATCACTTAACTTTCAAGAATAATCAGTTACATTCACCTCTTTCTTAAGCCTGAAGTGCTTACTTCACATTTACTGTTTTTCTGCCTTCCCTAATTTGAGACTTTTGCTATATCCCCGGACATCTCCAGCCATTCTACTTTTACAGCAGGTGCTGGCTTTTTATGCTATAGGCTTTTTTCCTGCTTTAGAACTGAGCTTTCATGCCTACTATCTCCTCACAATTTTGTGATTAACCTCTGCAGCAGGACAGCATGCATTAATAATCACTCTTCTCACAGCTCATCTGATTTGTCCTATTTGAATATTCAGTGTTTCCCTCTTTGCTTGCTAAACCTTTAAGCACCTCATTTTCTTCCTACATTCTCTTCATCAGAGTAGACCATCTTAATTGCATCAGGTAGAGCCTGGATGTGATATTTTAAGCTTTGCATCATATTGATGGATGTGTTAGTACCCAGCAGGATACCAGGGCTCTTTATTTTCCAATATCAGCTTTACAATTACAAATTTACTTTAGTTCTTTTTTTGCTTTCTACCCCCTTCTGCTACTTTCAAGGGTATTGGGGAATCATACTGGCAAAGGTATTAGTTAATATGAATGCTGGTTCACACTGTTCACAGTCTTGCACTTCTAGATTCTTCATGTGAAGGTTTTTGGTCTTACTGCTCCTTTATATTTTGCAGTCTTTTGATCAGGTCTGGAGATGGTTTTATTCCCAGTAGGTGCGCACAAACGCATGTATGTACACAGAGCCCACCAATGACAGATCAACATGGACGAAAGCAGAGCAGTGCTTTCACGGGCACCACATACACTTTAATAGCATTCACATAGGCACAAACAATATGAAGGGCCTGGTCCTGCTTTTTCTTGCCAGCAAGTCAGTCTCAAAGCTTGCTAGCAGATTTTATACTCACACACACACAAGTATCTCTCACTGCTGACTTTTGTATTCTTCAGCTCCAATCCTGCAAACAAGATGGCAGACACCATGTAGCACCTGCACATTATTCACTGGGCACCTTGACATAACCATTAACCTTAACCAACCATGTAACAATCCCAGCTGGCTGGTTAAAAATGCTGTGGCACCCTGCATCCACCTGTGGTATGGGACATGCTGCATTACTATATAACTGCATTAACAGTTATTATGGCCCCAGACCATCCAGGAATGGTTAGGCTCTCCTTTTCTCCTTTACACACATTCTGCTTTTTCCCCCCCAAAACGGCAACTCTCACAGTGACACTGGACTCCCACACAAACACAAACAATCACTCTAATACAGACAGGAGGAGGAGCGCTTATCATCATGTATACACTACTTTGACTTACTTACACTTTAGGTAAAAAAGCAGTACGTCACTCAGGGCCCAGATTCTGTTTGGCCACATGGGCCATCTCTGCTTTTGCTTACTTAAGGCATCTTAATATTAGCTAGCTCAAGCCTCAAAAATGGAAGCTCCCAGACAAGTCCCTAGTTACCTCATGGGTATCTCTTCCCTCTTTAGATTGCAGGCATGAGAAGCAACTGTTTTAAGGGTCTAGTGTTTGTTGATTCAGCAACGCACTACTAAACCCCATAATTCAATGACCAATAATTAATAAGCACATCATTACAAAATTACAGTTATATAATTTTGCACTTGATTGCACACAACAACAAAGCTACTGATTATTACTCTGAAGTCTCACAAATCACATGCAGCTACTACTGAATTACAATTCTATCACCCTTCCCTCCCCGTACCACTTAGTGCTAGGGTGCAGCTCTGCCCCTCTTTACTCTGTCCTCCTACACCACACAGCATCCTTGCCCTTTAATTATTTTAATCACTCTCTTGATTTCCTAGAGAGCCTGTAGCTAGTTACAAGGACTAATGTTCCAGGGAGACCTCTTGCCTACAATCTACCATCATGAAATTGGGGAGACAAGACCTCTTAAATAATGAAATAATTACCAATTTTAAATAATAAACGAAAAATTACAGTCTGGGTACTACTCTAGTTTTATAGACACCTAAAGACCACACTGTACATCATAATCTATTCCTGGTGGAATAATGAAGTTAGAGCTAACTGAGTGTTTCTGTAACAGTGCACTAGTCTGCAGGAGTATTTAAAAATGAAGGAAGCAGCAAATAGAAAGCTGATGAATAAGGTGCCTGGAAAGACCTTGTTACTGAAACAGACTCTTCTAGGTCTTGTGGCAGGACATCTGAGAAGTTTAAGACATTGATTTGAATTCCACCAATCATATCTTTTTATAGAATCATGGAAGTCATAAAAATTGCTAGCAACTCAGTCCATGTCTGAAGATGGTCTTTGTAACCTCATTACTGTGCGTTAATTATTTTTCTCCCTTGACACCCCTGAAGGGAAAAAGTTACCTTTATTTTGTGTTCATGGGACAGTGGCAGAAACAGAGCAAGCACTAGTATTAGTTCACACAGAAAATCTGTATTGAAGCCATGAATTGCACCGATGTTCCCAACTCCCAGATCCATTCTTTACTCATGAGATCATGCTTCAGCAATAGTAATCTGTACTGTATGGCTTCCTCCCATCAAATTGTATGCATTTGTATTTAAAACTCTATAGTAGATGTGCCAGTTCATTTAAGTGTCTGTTTTCCCCCATACGGATCTAATTTGCATTAGGGCAATAAATGGAAAATTCAAATACTCAGGAAGGCTGATACTACTTGAGATGCACTACATACTACATTTCTTTTCCCTCCTCACTAAGTCCTTTTTCTGTGGTTGTATCCTCAGCCCTTTAAACTCAGAACTTAATGTAGAGAGTTTATTGATTTCCAGGTAGTGGTCTGAGGCTCAAACCACTGCAGGTGTGTGGCTAAGAGGTGTTAATTGGGTGATGGATGTACAAAAATCGGGAACACAACTCAACAGTTAAATCAAATTAAAGCAAGACTTCAGCTGAATACAGTAGACTTTGGATCAGACCCTGTGGGGAGTTAGGAGGTAATACGCATTGCAACAAATCTGAAAACCCCTCTGCTTCCCTGATTTTCCTATTCACAGATGTACCAAATGAGTTTTCTTTTCCTAATATAGTTGTGTTCTGCCAAACTGCAACTTTCAGTAAAAAAAAAGTCAGAATGATTAATGATGACTGAACTGTTATTGAGAATAATTAATGTTAAAGAGAATAGTAACTTTTTCCTGGCAGAAAATATGTGTCTACCTTAGCAATATTTAATTTTAAAACATTTCTGGAGGTTATCCATGAAGATATTTATTTAAAACCCATCTACTAACATGGTTTTGGAAGTCAGTGAAACAGGTAATAATATTGCTTATGGAGGCCAGAAGTTCACCAGTCTGGGCATGACTAGCTATGTACGCTCAAATTATTATAAAACCAATGAATTTTCTTGTTTCCTATTCAGCTATTTCTATTTCATTCACCTGTGCTTCAAAGGAGGTGTTTCCTTCCTTTTATCAATATGGGCTTGTACCTAACTGTTCAGAAACAAGGTGATTGCCTCGTGAAGGGTGGTAAAAACAGAAATTTGGAGACCTAGTCATGCTGACTTGTCCAACTTTCACAGAGAATCCTAACACAAAGGTGAAATAGATCCTGAGGGCAGAGATTGAGTGGGAAAAGTAGAATGGCTGACTTCTATTGCTGCCTAGGGCCGAGACATAAACATGTCTGTTAAATCATGAAAGGCAATGTTCTGGACAGTTTCAAAATCTTCAGTAATAAATAAGAAGTGTGGTTTATGCTTTCAGAATATGAAATTGAGAGATCGTTTTTCCTGAGAATGAAGTGTGTCCTAGCCAAGAGGAATGCAGGATTGACGTGCAGTGGATACAAGGTAATGTATATAAGCTTTCCCCTCTGCTCCCCAAGTATTCAAGAAGTGACCAGTTTATTTATTTAGGGTGGGGGTTTTTTTTTGCGTATATGTAGCTAAAAGCAAAGTCAATAATGGAAAGAATCAGAACAGATACAAAAATGCCACTGCTGACTGCAGATTCCCTTAGCAATTTAAATCTAGACTCTCTCACAGTGAGTTGGAGTTTGCTTTGTGGCACATTCCCACATCCTGGTCCCTGATCTTCCAGACTGGGGAATCAGCTGGAGCACAGCCATGGAGGTGCAAGGGGAGCACACAGCTAGGTCTTATTCCCCTATGGAACTGGACGCAGGTGAGGCAGGAACCCAGACACAGGAACTTGGAAGTCTTCCCACATCCCTCTGCCTTGGTGTTACTGTGCTCTGGCTGAGCAGCCACCCAGCTGCACAAGTCACCTCATTGGCCTGACCAGAATTACCTCAACATTAACGAGACTGTAATGTTACCCTAAACAATCATTACTACCAACTCAGGATTGAATTGTACTAAACCACCAAGTCTGTTTATAAATCTTATCATTTATATTGTTTTACTATTTATTACATGAAATCAGAAACCACAGCCATTGCTAAGATTCTATAATAACACCTTTCATTCAGGTAGTTCTTATTTTCAGCTTTACAGTGTGCATTTGCTGCTCTTTGAGCTACACAGTATAAATCCATCACTTAAGCATCAGAAGAGAAGGGTACTTCACATACAGTCTAGTGAGGATTCATTTTGAGTCATTCAAAAGAAAAGCATGCAAGAGAAACAGAGTTCTTTTAAGGAATGTGTTCAAGGTCCAGACATATATCTGTCTATTTACACTGCTATCTACCTGGTTAGACTGATAATTCTTCATTACATAGGCTCCTGTTTGCTCAGCTGCTTCCCAGCAAAAATGCTTCTGTTCCAAAGCTGAATCCGAAATCAGGTAAAAGAGTAGAGTTTTAGTGGTGGTATCTTTAGAAGGTTCCAACCCCCCCACCCCCCTTTATGACTGCTAATCAGAGGTATCACCTTCTTCCTTCTTTTGTTCAGTATTAAGTTTATGCAGTGAGACATTTCAGGATGTATTCATTTAGAGAGATGTTGGCCTAAATTTATTTTCTTTGACTGTACTTGGAGTTGGGACTTAATAATTTTGAAAATATCACCAGATTAGCTGAAGCGTAGGAAAAACTCATGAATCAAATAGTATGGGAATTAGTAGGATTTGCTGAGAGATCTTAAATAAATTTTTCTTGCTACTGTACATTTGCTAAACTTACAAATCACGTGGTGATTGGAGAGGAGGAAGGCAGGTTATACAGCAGGAACCTATTTATAGGTGACTATTTAGTAGGTTGTTCAGGAGCACTAAAGTGGAAATTAATTCCTTTCCACTGAACACAGTTAAAAGTCAAACCAATACAGAAATTAAGCTGAAAGATGTGTAGTATGCCTACTGTTTGGACTAGAAAATTGGCAGGAGCACAAATGATTTCTAAACACCAGCACTACATTAAATAAATCTTATGTTCTGGAATAGTCCCCAGGTTACAATTTTCCCCCCTCTTCAGCTGACATTGTGAATTTTTACAGTCTAGCACTGAAGTTATCACTCCTGTGATTAGGAATTATATATGAGGATTCGGGAATCTGGTCTCAAGACCCTGGGCTTGGTCACATGTCAAAAGAATGTCATCTGAACTTTGACTGCAGAACTTAAAACTCATTTGTAGTGCATTTACATACACAGCAGTTAATCTTTATAAATGTGATGCATTAATCTCCACTGGATTTTTAAAGTGTCTGTTTTTCATCAGAATAATAACTCATTAAAATATAAATGTTTATAGATACCTCTGTGTCTATGTGCGAGAGAGTCATTTAAAAAAGCAACTTCCAGGGTTTTTTGTTAATGAACAGGAATTCTGACTGTATCATCAAGAAATCTATATTAGAGAGAGTTTAAAGTATTAACTAGAAAGTAGTCTAGATAGCACCCAAAGAGCATGTGCTTTCCTACTGGATTAATCATGTTGGCAATAAACAAGAAACCTGCATTTACTGTGTTTTAATCTCTGTTTATGAATTAACCACACTTCTGAAGCCTTAAGAAACTATGCAGTATTTAAGTGTTATAAGGGTGTATTGTGTTATAACCTCATTGAAACTGGGTGGTCAGCTGACTTGCAGCCTCTTCCATTGCCATCAGATACTGAGTGTGTTTTCTTCTCATGCCAGGTGATCCACTGCAGTGGCTATTTGAAGATACGTCAGTATATGCTAGATATGTCTTTGTATGATTCCTGTTACCAAATCGTTGGACTGGTGGCTGTAGGTCAATCTTTACCTCCCAGTGCAATTACTGAGATCAAACTTCACAGTAACATGTTTATGTTCAGAGCAAGTTTGGACTTAAAATTAATATTCCTAGATTCCAGGTAAGCAGCTATTTAATTTCTAGCATAAAATGTTTTCCAAGTCAAGTGTTATTGTAAGCTACAGTGGCTTCCAAACAGGTAAAAATATCCACAAAAAAATAAAGCAGTCCAAATCAGATCTGGAACACAAAGACCATGTGGGTCTTCAAAGCCCTTCAGGTAGCTGGATAGACCATACTTTGTCTTGAATGTCTGTACAATTTACCTACAGTTTCAGAGACTCAACTAAAGCCTTCTTGCTGTGAGTAATTGGAAGATGAGCAATAATACATTTTTACCTTAAAGGGCATAAATTTTAATAAACAGAGCTAGTGAAAGGAATACGGATGTACCATCATCCACAATTTAAAAAAAAAAAAAAACAACACAAAAAACCACAGCTGAAACACTGAGGTCAAATGACTTGCTGGGGTCATCCAGAAAGCTTTTGACAGACTGGTAAGAAAACATAATTTTCCGCACTGTAGTGTAATGCCTTAACAATGAAACCGACCCTAGTAATGGGGTTGTTAAAATGAAAATGCATTCAATTGGCTACTACATGAAAACACATCCTTCTTAAACAAAACTTTACAAAACCAGCTATTGCTGAGGAAAGAGAACCCTGCCTCCACCCTCAGCTAAGAAGAGAAGAGCACAAAACCAGAACTGCAGCAGTTGTGAAATTATTCATTCCTGTCTTTTTGAAACATGCTATCTTTTAGTATACAATGATGATTTGTACCGTGCACTTCAAGATACCTTGAGAGAAAAAGCCCAATTCCCAGACAATTTAACAGATTTCACTATTGACAAGATGATGGTTCTTCAGAAACCCCTGCATGAGGAACAGTATGTCACATACTCTCTCATTTCCCTGGCATGCGGGATTTGCAAGTAGCAGAAATGACATTCACGTGTAGCAGTGAAAAAGAGTCTGTATCCAAGACAGTGGGGAAGTTTTGCATGGCAGGTCAGCCGTGCAAGAACATGCTCTTTCTCCATGCTAAGTCAGTGAGATAGTGGGCCATCAGCTGCTAAAATACAAAGAACTAGTTGTTTCTGGAATCCTTTCTCTTTTTTTGGCATGCTTTACTTAATGTAACTGCTACAAAGAAGCACAAGGGGTTTAGCAACATGTCTTTGCATGTGGAAAAAGGGAAATGATGTGCCTAAGAGGAACCGCCTGGAGACATAAATGTCTTCAAAGGAGATGGTATAACCAGAGGTGTTGACAAGGAGCACAGATAGAACCAGTACTGTTGCATAGCTGTGTTTATGAAAGAGCAGATGGCTGTCGCACACATAGGACAATCAGGGGTATTAAGCATTACCAAAGCCCTTTGCTCTCCCAGCTGAGCAAACCAAATGATACTTGCTCAGAGCAGGGACGTATTAGGAGTAAGATAAAACTGGTTTCAGGTTTGTTTCTGGTATCCATACAAGAAAAAGTGTTGCTAGATCTTTACAGGTAACAGCAATAGCAGGCAGGCCAGTATGAAAGCCATAGGCCTTTTCTAGACACTTACACACAATGTAAAACATGCAAGAGTTCCTTTATCGAGGTCACTGGAAAAAGGAGACAGTTACTTCCCTCCAAAGTGATCTGCTCCTTCTGATTTGCAGCCTATGCATTCATCACTACATGGTTTACAATGGCTTTAAAGAAGTCTAGAGGGCAGAACTGATCATTGGGGCAAGCTCTGTTTCCTTCTGTGTGCCCTGTCACATGCAAAGAACAATCTTCAGAGCCCAGGCTCCCTACAGTGGCTTATTGGTGGTTTGATTTTGTGTTAAGCAAGTCAAGCAGCTGAGTTTATGTCCAGATCCAAACTTTTTGAAAGTTTGGGTGTCCTTGTAACTGTTAATGATGTGTTTTTGGCCCATGGAAAGACCAGCTTCAAAGTGAGGCTGCACCTCCAGAAAAATTAACACCTGGCTTAGGTTTATGGCATTTTGTTTGGTTTTCGTTTAGCTATTTCTGTACTCAACAATTCATTGAGCAGGATGAAACTGCCACCCTTGTTTTAATTGCACTGAAGTCAGAAGGAGCACTGAAACCTGAACAAGACCTTCCACCTGTATTTCACCATGCTGGTAGGCTTAAGTGAGAATTTGGGCCCCTAGAATTGTAAGCCAGGAGGGACAGTCCACAGTGTGAAGGAGAAACACAAGCATATGTTCACATATCCTCCTGCAGAAAGAGAGCGCGTGTGCTCACTCTGCATTGGCAGACCCTGACTGAGGCAAAGGCATGCAAGAGTTTCCCAGATGAAGGCATAGCCAGGGGAGGTATGGATGTATTTGTACTGTGTTTATAATAAATCAGACCGCAAAGGCATTGGGTGTTTTTTTTTGTTTTCCTGATTTCCTTCAAAAAAACCTGCCCCCTCCCCTCCCAAAAAAAACCGCTCTCTTTCAAGTAGAATGTACAGTCCTAGTCTCTGTGGGGTCCACATGATTGGTTAGCATTAAGGTAAGAGTAAAGAAGATGCGTAACAGTTACAATCAAAGTTTATGTTATCTGCACCCCCAATGACACAAGTTGCTTGAGATCCCTGTATTCATTTCTGTAGATACTACTTTGTTATCCTCTGATACAGGGACATTAGTGCTTAAGTTCAGACCAGAAGCATTCTTCTGACTGTCCCCACTCATTGCACTGCAGTTCATGTCATGAAGAGGCCTTAGGCATCTGAACTGGATTCCTTCTGTGTGAATCTAAAATGGAGGACAACCTGCAAGAGCATGTCTAAGGCGCTCCAACTATTACAAAGCTTCCAGTCCACAGGCCTAGACTAGAGCTAGCCCCAAGTAAAAGTCCCAAAATTAAAATATGCAGATGCATCTGCTGCTGCAGAAGTACAATTTTACTCTACGGATCGCCTACTAATGGACTGTGTTGCTTGTTAACGTAGACATGCCTTTGTATGGTACCTCTGTTCTGCCTTTTTAGGTGAAGAAAGCCCAGGACAGTGTAAAACACCCCCAGCAACACTAGGTAAACAAGCCACATTATGGCTGCATTACACAATGTACTATAAGCATTTTTATTCTCAAGCAACTATGCTAAATAGACAAAAGTCCATTTTGAACCATGAAGTTTGACTCTTCGGGTCTGACCCAGTGTAAGTCTGACCAGTGTAGCCTGGTTTTTTAACATCTGCAGAGATGCTGCTGTTTCAGATTTGTTCCATTATTCTACTTCTCATCATGTGAGGATGTTTTTCTGAAGTCTAGCTTCAGACTTCCTTTTCTTAGCTTGTTATCTTCATAGCTCCTTGGCTTTCCACATTCTCAGCTGGAATAAGCTCCTGCTTCCTTCTTCTGTTAGGCATTAGCCTAAATTTATTTATAGACCATGATCACAGTGTCTATGGACTGACATACATGCTACACTTGTATGTTTGCAAAAGCAAATGAAAATGTGTCAGCAGTCCGCAAGAGCAGTTTTACTGTTTCATGAATGGCTCCTCAACTGGATCTTTGTGCAAAGGATCATGCACGGCAGTAGCAAAAGCCCAAAGTGGAAATAAGCAAAAGAACTCTTTTTCCTGCCTGTGTATAAGGCTGGCCAGGGAATAACTGCACCTTGCTTTGGCTGGGTTGGGAGGGTTTGTTTTCTTATAAAGATGAGGATTCTGTTTCCAAAACTAACATTTTGTCCTGCAGTTTTTAGGCATTTGATTTGTTGGCACAATCAAATATTAGGTTAATGAAACTGAATATTCCTAGAGGTTTCACTTATTATGGAAACTTCCTTTTCCAGGGTGACTGAATTAACTGGATATGAGCCCCAAGATCTGATAGAAAAAACCCTCTACCACCATGTTCATGGCTGTGATGTGTTCCATTTACGATATGCTCATCATCTGCGTAAGTAAAAAGAATGCTAGACTGAAATTTATTAAGTAGAGTGAGAAGTTTTGCAGACAACAGGCAGTGTGCTGGAAAGTAAAGAAAGCTTTCCAAATCTTGACTGGAGCTAGATTTTCAAAAGTGCTTGGCTATCACTTCGGGAAACCATTAGTTCTGCAAATAAGGCAGATACTCAATGTGCTGTGCTTCATGAAAAAAACATATCTGGCCACTTTTATCTTTCTACTTAAAGGATCTAGGCTGTTTTGAAAATTTGGGCTTGATTCTGGGTGGTGAACTCTTGAAGGAAAAAAACCTTCAAGAGCAAGTGAGTGAGTGAGAGGGGAAAATCTGAACTTTACTAGCCTCTGTTGCTAAAAGAAAAATGATGCAACAGCTCCCCATTCCTCTGAAATATGTTAGTAATAATCATCCCATGTTTGAATTGAATGCAAACCCAAAAAATCCTTAGATGAATGTTCATTAATAGCATGTGGATGAGGTTTGGAGAATGGAGTGTCAGGAAAAAAATTACACATTTAATAATTCTTCATCTGCCAACAGAGACACTAATCATATCTTCAAACATCTGGATTTGGGAAGTAGTTCATTCAGTAGCACGTTAATTTGAGAAGCAAATTGAGGGAATAGCTGAACTCTGGATTTGGCTCAGTCTGTCACAGCCCATACGATGCAAAGATGACATCCAAAAACCAATGTCAGTGAATTTTTTTCCAGATTTCTCCTGTGGGCTGAAAGCAGCCAGAGTCAAATCCTTCTTAGGCTTCCTGAAGGAGAAAGTAGTCACTTCTTCACCTTAATATGTGCTGTTCTTGATGATCTGGAATATAAAGGAGGATGTAACTGTATTTGGCAAGTCAGTGCTGAAATTCCAAGTGCCGAATTCTGTTGATGGCAGTGTGTGCTACACCTGGGAAAGCAGAAACTAATCTTTACAGCAAGTTCAAATTTACCAAAACACCATTGAATTCTCTGGGCCATTGCAAACTAAAAGCTAGAATGACCAGGGTACTCGGTAATGTCCTGTTGGGGGCATCCTCTTTGTACTGTTAACATCTGCATTTGGATGTGACTGTTACCTGCATGAAACATCACTCGTTATTTTCACAAGACTATTTGAAATACCTGTGTCAACCAGGATAGAGATGATTCCATTATAGCCACAATCATCTCTGGAAAACAGTTTTCCATTTTAGAGCAGAGTGATGGATAATTCTGTTTGTGCAGTAGAAGACTTGTACTGTGGCTGCCAGTTTGATCTATGTATGACTGGAGTTTTAAGTAGAGACACATCATATTTACTGAATTAACACCCACACACCCATACAAGAAAAAAAAAACCCTCAACCAAAGAGAGTAACTAAAATAAGTTTTCTAGATACTGTATCTGAATTACAAAGATAAATTATTGTAAATTTTAAAAACAGAAGAAAAATGCAAGACACATGCATAGAAATTTATGAAAGTTTCAAAGCAAACAAATGCCAAGAAACAAAAAATAATGGCTAATGCTTGGGCAACAGTGGGAACAGTGCAGAATCACGGTCAGAATACCAAGTACTAGAAACGATTAAAACAGATCAGGAAGTGTACAAACTTCCTCTGGGGAGCACTGTTATAACTCCCCCACCATCCATCAGTAAATGTCTTAGGAACATGAACAGTAAAAGGTTGGCAGGTTTGACGTACCATTCTATAAAGCAATTCGATGATTAAGTGTCATCTGATGAAGAAATCTGGAGAGAAACATCTTACACCTAATAAGGGTATTAAGAAAAAAAGAAAAGGAAAAAAAAAAAGGCAACCCTAAACTAGGGTAACAAACTGCTTTTTCAAAGAGGAAAAAAAATTCCCAAACTGAAGACCTAAAGCAACTGAACTTTAAGTTAGGCAACACAGAGAACAAAACAAAGGAAACAGTGAGGGGAACAAGTTAGAAGGGATATAACAAGAACATCAGACTATGAGGAAAATGTAGATGTGAATATTTGCCCAAGGTGTGCTGCCCAAGGCAGCAAACAGGGTTTCCTGTTTTAAACATTTGATTAGCTTCCAGCTATATGAAAAAACTTCTGGCATTTGAACTAGTGTTATTTATTTCTACAGCACCACCAATATAGACAGTGTTTGCTCTGCAGCTAGGGAAATGCAGCCGCACAAATAATGAGTCCCTGCCTAAGGATCTTGCGTTCTAAAAGACGGGACAGAGGAAGCTGTTACAGTATGGACAAAATATTCCTCTGTTCCAGTACAGACCAAATATTTTTCTGGCCTCAGAGAAATCACTTCATTTGTACCATCGTCCCTCTATGAGGAGGATTTTGTGCATCCCACATATTGTGACATTATTGCTCTTCCCACATAAACTTTTACATGAGTTGCATCTCTGTGCCTTGGCAAGGCAAGCCCCAACCCCAGCTGATGTCATCACAAAACCATTCTGCTGCTTCCTGGAAGTCAACCTATGTATTTATAGAACCTATCTTACAGCATAGCACAATTTACACTCTGTCCATGGCATGGAGTCTACTTTTGCTCCCCCAGCAATGAAGCCTTCTGGCAGAGCTGCACTAGTTTTTAAGAGAGCAAAACAACTGTAGAGTCTGCTAGGGCACCATCCACTGACCACGCTGCTTGAGGGCTGGATCGATGACATACCCGGCTGTGTGCGCCAGGGAAGCTAAAACAATAACTGTTGCAAGTGAGGAACCAAGAAGTCCATTTCTCTTGGTGGTATCCTTAAATGCAGGCTAGGAACTCCCAGCCACATGCCTGTGAGCCTGCTGGAGCCTTTTAAAATAGCCATCTATGACAGACCAGAAGGACCAGCCCAGCCAGCCCAGTGCCTTTTTCAGCTTGCCTGCTAAACCAGGAGGGAACCACATCAGCGGAACACCCAGTTACAAATGGCACATCTAAGAGCCAAGGCTAAAGCCACCAAATCCTCCCCGTTTGATTGCAGTGGAGGCCACCAAGAAGTCTGAGCCTGCACAGATTGTCTTGGTAGTGGATTTACCTCACTCCCATTTCTGAGGTTTCCCAATCAGCATCAAACAGGGTAATTTAACACAGAGCCAAATGGAAATTGACCTCATTTACTGTATCGGAAGCACAGCTACTGTCCCCTGGCCAAGGTCAGACTTTCCCCAGATTGCTAAAAATGCAGGAGACATGGAGTCCTCCCCCGTCCCAGGAGAAATATTGGTTTATCCATATAATTAGGAAGGAAAGCTGAACACTGTAGTCCTCAGTGGTTTTCACATCTTTTAAAATACTGTCTTAACTGGAGAGCTAAAACAGTGATTTTAAAAAAAAAAATCAGTGAGAGAGAGAGAAAGTCAAAACTAGTCCCAAAGCACATGGAAGAACTCTGTTATAGCAAGCAATCCATTACACCATTGTTTTCTATTTCAGAAGACTGAGTAGCAAGGCATTTTGAATTCAGGGGAAACCTGACCATTAAACTAGCATGAAGACTTAGTTCTGACAAGCCTAGACCACATTACAGAAAATATCTGTTAGACGATCTAGGCCAAAACGTAAGCATCATTTCCTAGAACTGGACCGTTTGGACTATAGAACACCGAGAAACATAGTGATTCCATGGCATATAGGTGATTATTAACAAATATTTTTACAACAGACTTATTTAGCATTGTAACACCGAATCTTTGAGTAGCAGCTACTTTGGAGCAATATATTGCACTTAAAGAGTACATGTGCCTTTGTGTTTTGTAGGTGCGTTTACATACTTACACACATATTCCTCATGATTTTCTTAAATAACTGTAGATATCCAAATCTCCACCCCATAGAGTGTTCTATGTAGAAATGTAGGGAGGAAAAAGGCCATCAGCAAGTATGAGGCAAAAAGCTGGTATCTAAGAAAGACTTCAAACTCTAAATAGGAGTGGCTTGGTGTCAGCAAGGATGGGGTTTTGAATGTCCTGCAAGATGTTGTTCATCTTGCTGCTTTCTGAACAAATGGATACCACATCTAGTAATGGAAGGAGAACTGACACTTCCAGAAAGACCTGTCTATAGTCATTTTGTAAGAGCCTGATTTTCTTAGGGAGATTAACTGGATTTGAAGAAATGTTTAAATGTGTTGTGGCATGTGCAGATGGATAGGAAAGTAAGAAGTCCAGGGAGATTACCTATATGCTACAGACTTAGAGGACCTTTCAGCAAGAACAAGAACTCTTGCTCTTCTATTTCTGTCAGTGTTACATTGGGCTATTCACATTATTTGGATTATGGCGGTCTCTGATTACTATTGAAATTACAAACCCCTACTCCCCCAAGTAACAACTGAACAAAAAAAGCCAACCCCAGAGATGACTGGTAGCCATATAATTGTTTATCAAACAGTAAACAAACCCCCAAAGGTTATGCACCCTTTAGTTCCCAATTTAACATTGGATGCCCTCCCTGTCAGAAAAATCTTCTACGCTCACTAATTATAAGGCCATATATTTTCATTTCAAGTGATCATTTGCTCTACTAGAGTTGGCTGAAAGGGAAAGCTGTTGTTCAATTTCCTCATTATGTATCTGCTTCTGCACCAAGCATGTACAATGACAGAACAAAATTACAGTGAGCTTTGCTACTAAGTTCAGTCTAGTAGAAGTCCTACATTTGCAAGCAGTAATTCCATTTCTTAATCATGTATTATATAAAGGAATTGGTGTTACTGATTACATTTTTTGGACACAGTTTGTGTAAAAAGCTCAGTCACTTATTTCCTAATTTAAAATAGATAACTGATTGTACAGAAGAGTAAGAAGATGGAGTTTCCTGGAGGAATGCTCCAGGGTCACACAAGAGAACCACCTTTGAAGGCTGGGAATTATCTTCTAGTGAATCATTAGATAAATGCTTGGCACTAAACCAGAAATATTTGTGGCTAGGTTAAATATTTAGAGATGCTGCACAACCCCTATTACAGCATAGCCTTATGTCAAAACTTCTTTGTTCACAGAGAATCCAAACTGGTGTATAGAGGATTCAATTTCTAGTGAAATCTGTCAGATGACTGATTCATGTCTCTGGCCTTGTCTTTATTTGTGTGCTTAAGAACGAAATGGCATTTTAATTTTTCCCTTTTAAATCAACCTTCAAAATGTAGACCGTAAAATACATTGCAAAATACACAATAATCTTTCAAACTATGAGTGACAAAAGTGTTTCCAAATATACTGGAAAAATTCAAGCTAGTTGTGTCTGCTTCAAAATACTTTTGCTGCCTCTCACTTTTCTTTTTCAGTTAGAAGATTAGAAACACTAAGTGGTTTTGCAGAATGTAAGCATAAGAGAGCAGGGTGAACGGGAAAAGAAGACAAACCTTAATAGTATGCAACATACTATTTGTAAATAATGTGACCTCGTGAAACTATGTGAAGGGGCAGGACAGATACCTTTGCAGGGGAGCTATTTAAAGTTTGGTGGGAGAAGGAGGTTTAAGGGTGGGGGAGGAGGGAGAAAAGTCCCTGCCTTGCAAATAGACCTCTCCAGGAAGTGGTCACAAGTCCAAGCAATGTGAAATGCTTTTTTGTATTGTATTCACAGTGTTGGTGAAAGGCCAAGTCACAACCAAGTACTATCGACTACTGTCCAAGCATGGAGGCTGGGTTTGGGTACAGAGCTACGCTACTATTGTGCATAACAGCCGTTCATCACGGCCTCACTGCATAGTGAGTGTCAATTATGTCCTTACGTAAGTCAAAATACTTTGTACCATTACGTGTTATCAGTAATTGATTCATTACTAATTAAATCATTTAAGTTTGCTTTACTTGTGTCTTCCAGTATCACTCTGTGCTTGCACATTACAGACACTTTTCTGTCCTCATATCCTCCCTCTTCTACTTACATTGAGCTAAAAAGAGCTAGTATTCCTGATGATTACCTCATACACCATATGTAGCCATTTGCATTAGACCTGGACCCCAGTTCTGTAATTAGCATCAGAACTGTGCTGGGGCTGTCCAGACACAGTTGAAAGCTGCTGCTACCCATCAGAGGTCACAGTGTCAGTTTGCGAGACAGAGACAATGGTAGGAAGCGTTACTCCTTTCAGGGACAGGCGAATCACCAGGGATTCCTGTACTTGCCTTGGGTTGCACAGATACTCAGGGCAAAACTACATTCTCACAGTGGCAAGTAGCTCCCACTGAGCTGGTGAATGTACAGCGGTTTGGACCTGCCATTTATGAATTCTGGTTCCAGTCACGAAGGTGTTACAAAATTCCTATCTTGACATAACGCTGAGAGAGACAGAAATCTATATTGGTAAGAGGGATAAGTACTAGTGAAACAGACTATGACTGAAGAGACTATCTATGGGGGAAAAGAGAAAAAAAAAAAGGATAGTAGGCACCCCTTATGATGAATAGTGTAAAAAAGCAGTGAACTATACACTCTTTTCTTTTGTCTAGACTGGTCCATTTCTTATCCAGCTTGAAAGTAAGATGTGTTTGCATGACGTGTGTGGTAGGATCGTGTGTGTTTGCATATTACAATGTTGTCTCTGATACCTGACTTTGGGGAGTTAAAGTGTATGAGTTGAGAAACTATGGAGTGTTTTCTTAAACTACCTGAAGTAGGTACTCAGTCCTAGACACACTGGCCAACACCTCATTCCTGTACAGATGTGAGAGCCAGCAGCATGAGGGAAAGACTCAGCCCTGCAATCTGCTTGAGTCCCTTGAGCTGGGGCAAGTGATTTGAGTAAAAAGGAGGAAACTGTGCCAGGGATATATAACAGCCTATTCTTGAGTTGAATCTACTTCCTGGTTATTCACCACCAAAAAGTGATGGAAATGAGTTCTAGGTAGGAATTAGGAGAGAAGTAGATTTTTTTTCTAGTTATTCTTTCAAAAATATGCACCACTGTTGCAACTGACAAAACTAGGGGACACCATTTAATCCTCAGAACTGTAAAAATTAATGTTTCAAAATATGATCCACAGTCCGTTTTTAGCGTGTTTTAGAGGTTTTTAGCCTGTTTTATACAAAAATCTGCCCTGCCTGTGAGGCAGATAAAACTGAATAGAACAGAGCAGAAATGAAAGTCTAGAGATTGTCAGAAAAACAACATTGCGGCTTCTGTGGTCTACTTACAAGCACATTGCGCTGACAAAAAAGGAACATCATTGCTTTTTCCTTTTCTTGGGGTTAATTGGGAGAGCCAAGGCAGAGACCAATTCCTGACTGAGAAGGAGGCAGATGAATTGAGCTGTGTCTTTCTGTCAGCTGACATGGCTGTGATTCCAAACTGCAGGGTGCCATGGATGGCTGAGAAGAAGTTGGCACAGCTTAGATTCAGAGAGTGGGCTTATTTAGTACAAAGATGTTAACGTGGTTCCCAGTGGAATGTTTGTGATAAACTTGCGTGGGGATGGGGTCAGACCATAAAATCCGCTGCCTGCTGACATCCCCAGACTCGCACTGCAGAGTCAGTGAAAATCCTGGAAGAATGAAAATGAAAACATTGTGAAAACTAACACCTATTTTCAAAGGAGCTATTTTGGATTTGTGTGGTATGTTTGAGTATGTAATATATTGGACTGTCTTTTGCAGAGATATTGAGTATAAGGAACTTCAGTTGTCACTGGACCAGGTTACCATTTCTAAGTCACAGTTTTCATGCAGAAACTCAGTATCTACCTCGCAGGAAACAAGGAAAATGGTAAAACCCAAAAGTAATAAAATGAAGGCAAAACTCCGAACAACGCCTTACCCACAACAGGTAACATTTGCAGCAATATTTACTCACCAGTTATTGTGGTAGAGTGCTTGGAACAGAGTAGAGATCATCCAGAACTGAACTTACTGTAAAACCAACTATAGTGTGCTCTGCCACAGGAACTCCTTTGTAGGCCAGAATACAACTGGACCCTCTTGTTCGTGGGGTGGACAGCACAAGTAGTACAAACCAACTCCGGCAAGTGATGCAAATGCAAAAACTTTTGGATTTGGAGTATGTTTAGTACTTCAAAGACAATGTGCTTTCTTGGTAAAAAGAAGAAAAATATGTACTAAAGATTAGCTGTGTTGTGAAAATTTGCGCTGGTGCAGAATGCACCTCATTCACTGTTGATATTCAGAGTTCTTAATGTCACATAGATATTAGCAGTTTCCTTATGCCAGAGAATGCATCACAAGAATTAATCCTAGCAAACAGAGCACTGGAGCGGGATTTAGAATATCTCTCACTGTCACTGGGTGAGCTAGAACCAGATGTGAAAGTAAACAATGGAGATTGTCCATAAAACCAGGTTGGTGAGACTGACACCCACCATGTGCCATTCTGAGACTTTGCAATGAATATTGCTGGAAGGAGCAACTATTAGCTTAAAACAGCAGTGAATGCAGCTAGCGTTCACAACAGTGAGAGCGCAAAAAACATTTGGAGTCTGGAGAGGAGAGTGGGAGAGAGTGGGAAGAGAAAATCAGTGTGATAGAAGATTTTGTGTTCCTACCGTTCTAAAGCCTGACATGCCAACATATGCAAAATCATATTCATGATCTTCTAGTCCTTTTATCAGTGACTTCCAGTGCTTTGCAACAAAATTCTGCCCTCTGGTATTTTCTAGCTAAAATCCAACAGGCAAAATTATCAAATAAACCCCTAACATTAGGATGACAAAATGATTTTTCGTTTGCATGTTAAGTGAAGGTAAAGTTATTGTGAAGACAAGGATCTTGAAATGCTAGTCCCTTTAGCCAGTGAGGTTGCAGTTCAAAGACGTCCAGCTTTGGGCTCATTACGTGGTCTCATATAAAAATTAGTCATTTAACTCTCTTCCCCTCTTTTCTTTTTCTTTCCCCCAGCAATACAGCTCATTCCAGACAGACAAACTGGAATGCAGCCAGGTGGGAAACTGGCGATCCAGCCCCGCAGTGAACGCTGCCACCATTCAAGAACAAAACTTCCATTCAGAAAACAGTGAACTTTTATATGCCCCGTCATATAGCTTGCCTTTTTCTTACCATTATGGACACTTCCCTGTAGATTCTCATGTCTTCAGTAGCAAAAAGCAAATGCTGCCCTCAAAGTTTGGGCAGTCTCAAGGAGCACCTTGTGAAGTGGCTCGATTTTTCTTGAGTACGCTGCAGACAAATGGAGAATGCCAGTGGCATTATGCCAACTCCTTGGTACCCAACAGCCAGTCACCATCCAAAAATCTTCCTGATCAGCCAGTGAACATCATCCGACATAATCTTGCACAGAGTTATGAAGGTGGGTGTCACTTTAAAAAAAGAAACAAAGAAAAGCAAAGCTGTGGGGTGTCTGGGAAAGATTTGTAATTGTAGTTTGAAAACAGGAAGTACAAAGTGTTTAGGAAACACAGAAAATCAGAAACAGTGAAGTGTAATGACTGTTATGCTTACAGTGTTTACATGCTCATCCCTCTTCACATTACCATAAGCACTTGATTAGGAATATTATCAAAGTATCAGTTACAAAAATGTATTCACCATAATCACTTTTAGAACAGGACAGAGCTACCACCTCCTTTAGTACTGGCACAGTTTACCTTCGTGTTTTGCACTGAGTTGTTTAGCGGAATTCCTCAGGTAAGTCATTGCTGAAGTCAGAGAGAAACAAATGTACTTCAGCCCACATACAGAAATTAAAATAAATATGATCTAATCCATAAAAATTGAAGGTTGTCCTTTCTGAGTATGAAGCCATTCTAAATGACTTTACCTTACAGTGAATGAGTAAATGAAATGCACTGTCTTCTGCTTTATTTAAAAATGTCTTCAGTGCTCCTCCCCAATCAACGGCATCATCTCTATAAAGATGGTGAGCTTAAATATTTGAAGGAAGCACTGAAGACATTGACTTCTCTGAGGTGGCAACCTGTAAGAAATAACCTTGCAAACCTATAAAGTAACTAAATGTGAACAAGCTCAAGACACACTAATCCTTAGATCTCACATGCATTACATCTATCTGCATACACCATTTTGATGAGTTAATCACTGATGAGGACTGACTGGTTGACATACTGTTATAAAGTTAGATGGAAATACTCCTTTCTTATAGCTTCATAAAGGATGAGACAGAGGAAGCAGTAGTGGAAATTTAAAATAAAAAAGCTTGAAAAGACAGGCTCAAGGTTCTTGAGTACACCAGAAAAAAGCATTTATTCACTTCGGGACATGACATTAGACATCCTAGATCTGAAGGGAACACCTGCAGATGTTAAAAGCTGAGCTTGCTACATCAGACAGAAGACGGACCCAGTCATTGAATGTGTCTTCCACAGAGGAGCAAATAACTTCTGCCCAGGGTTTTGTCCTTCACAGGACCGTTTGACCTCACCTAGCTGATTACCTCACCTAGCTGACTGTAGCATTTTATTTTACTGTTCTGTGTTTAGGTTGAAAATGAACAAGACTGAAAGTCTTCTTACAGCCTAGTTCAGGTTAAATGCTTTTTCTGAGCTCATGCTCCTCTAATGTGCTGGTTTCCTTTTGTTGCTGTGGTGGACTGGGTGTGAAAACGAGTAGCTTTAGACCAACAATAAGAAATGGGTTTGTCCTTTCTAAAGACGCTGTATCTTTGTGGAAAAGAAAAAAATGCTACATGTTTTGAGGATAAGTATAAGGATTGAAGTAAATCCTGCAGATCCCCAGTAGGTCTGCAGGAACAAAGCTATTCTAGGTGTACAGAAGTCAGCCCAGCTTTTCTTCTCTGCTTCCAGACTAACAGATGCTGTGAGACTGACTGAGAAAGTAGATCTACCCCTTGCTGGTCAGAGGGTGCCGTCAGATAGACTGAGAATGGATGTGGAAAGAACAGCCTGTTCAGAGAACAGTCTGTAAAATTGATCGTGGCCATAACATTTGCCAGAAAAGCCCAGTGAGCATAGCAGCAGACAAACAATTTACCATCGGTCGGTTGATATGGGCAGATAACTCCTAGTAAATATATTGTCAGAAGGACTTCACAGCAATACTGTTAAATATGTTAGGGGGGAAAAATCCCAACAAAAAACTGCAAGCAACTGCTGATATTTTTCAATTTCATCATGCATGCATACCTTCACCACTTCCTCATGAACAGGAAAACGGAGATGTGGTACCAGCGGTTCTTACTTCTGGTTCTACTTCTACTTAAGGTTTTGTTGCTTAAGTTGGAATATGTGGGTTCTCTTTTGAACACAGATGTATTTTAATGGTTGTTTAGCTATTGAGCATTTGATGAAAACTGACTTGGTACAATTAATTCTCTGCAAAAGCACTTAGAATTGTACTATTTAAGAAGGAAAAAAAGAATCTGGTCAAACTCAGCCCCGGTCAGAGATCATTGCTTGAGTTCACACACAGTGTTGTAAAAGGGGAAAGAAAAACAGAGCCTCCACTGCAAAGAGTCTTTATATCCAATTGTTCCAGAGTTTGTTTCCTCCTGAGGTAGAATTAGCCCTATTGTACTTTTGCTGAGGCTGGTGGCAGAAGAGAAATCTGAACCTTTGGAGGCAACTTTTTGTTTGAATTGAAAGGGGCATCTGATCTTCCTTACATTGTCAACTGCTAATTTTTCCAGCGGTTCACTGCAAAACTGACAGCCAGTAAGCTTCAAAGCAGAGAGGATCTGCTTAGCGTCATTATCTTCAATCCAAAGGCAATGCCAAATATGACATCTGGCAACCGGGTTGGATGCAAGGGCTATTCCACATCACATCCATAGAAGCATCTGCCAAAAATGCCGTAGGCCAGAGACATTTTTCTCTATGGAAAATAGCTTCTTTTGGAGAGATCAGAGATTTTAAGATGATCATGCCAAGCCATCAAAGCTCTGGAAAAGCACGTAGCAGATAAAACTGCCTGCAAATCAGATGCTGCTGCCTCAGAATCTGGTTTTGAAGCCTCTTCCACTTTTTTCCAGCTGGCCGAGTCATCAGAAAAGATATTCACTGCAGAGAAGGCAACAATATTCTTAGCCAGGGAAGTTTCCTTTGTACGCTCAAATGAATACATCACTACTGTAGGTACCACAGTACCCACTTCTCTGTAAGTTATGCTGTTGGCCAGTTTGTACAATCTCTGTGAAGCTTAGCGCCACTAGTCATGCCAAAACTCAGGAAATGATGAATACTAAGAAAACCTATGGAAAAACTTTGGTCTATCTTCCTTCCCCAAATCAACACCCCAGGTTTAGCCTGTGACTACTGGAAGAAACAAACATCGTCTTTGAAAAGGGTATTCCACTGGAGACAAAGAGGTCTTGCAGATCATGTTTTCTTACTATTGTTTTTGGAGGGAGAATAATGGAGAACATAGTAATTACAACATCAGCCCACACATCAGATGATTTGCAATTAGGGTTCAGACCAGGACACAGCAGAGATATTGAGCTAATCTAAAAAATGTCTTCTTCATGGGCACGGACATTATTAAGACCTGTTGTATCTTTGCCTTGTTTGACACAGAGGAATACCAGCATGCCTTTGTGACCCAGGAGAGAGTGACCTGAGCAGTACAGCAGCCCCACTCATTGGTCTTCAGCAAAACTCAGAGCGATTGAGTAATTGCTCCTCTTCTCTGAAAGGCCTCTTGTACAAAGGGTTAGGAAACATACTGGAACACCATAGGCTATGTGTCAACATTCAAGTGGTGGCATATTGTCTTTTCAAAACATATAGTAACTGTCGGAAGTACACTCTTCTGGGATTAGTGTAGATCAGAAAGCTCAAGAAAAACTATGCAAGACAAAGCATGCATGCAGACGGGGCTTCAACTGTGTCCTAAAAACAGACAAGGTTTTTCACGTACAGGATGCAAGACTCAGCTGTTAAAGACTGTATACCTTTTGCATGAAGATCAATGCTGATCACCAGTCTTTCTTTGCTTTAACCTGGTCCCAAGATGCCTTTCTTTCATTTTTACTGGAATAGACAGGGGCAGTGAGAGAACAAGGACCAGCTCTATCTGTTAAGGTCTTGGTACAGAAAGGCACATTTGTGAATGAAATACCTTTTCTGCAAGCATCTTTCTCCATTGAACACCATCTGATCTTTGTATTACTGAAAGGTGAGGAGGGAATGCTCCTCACTGCAGCACTATGTTTGACAGGCAAAAGACTGCTCCAGTATACTTTAACTATGAATAGACATGACATGTTTTAAACAAAGACCGACACCTGCTAGAGTCGCCTTCCTGTTCCCACTTGGATGGTTGTATGCTAAAATATGAGCAGGCTTCCAGGTGATGGGGGTCTTATCTCCAGGTTCTCCCTCAACTTGCCCAAGCTGCACCCTGTACGCCAGCAGGAAAGCGGAGCTACTTGGCAAGAATTAACCGAGCCATGATGCCTGAAGGACGGAGTTCAGTTGCAGTTGTCGGCTGCTATGAACAGAGGCAGTATAAGTATGAAGGGCCTTCTAGAAAGCTGCTGTCACTCTGGTATGATATACAACCTCAGATGTGCCGTCTGTCTATCTCATCTGGCATAGCTGAGTTGCTCTGGCGGAAGAGTGGTCCGGAAAGCATCCCGAATTAATGTGCTGGCTTCAACAATGGTAAAGCGTTTCCAGGGCTGGAGAAGTGCAGAATGCATGGGATACTCAAGCACCTGCTGAGGCAGGTACTCCAGCAACTGCCCACATGCCTGATGGGTGGAAGCAGTCCTGGGGTGCTGCCCTTCTATAGCAATACAAAGCAGCTGGTCAGCTTTCCATTAACTTCTGTGTGAAAAGCTCCCCAGGAGGATTCTGTCCCAGGGCATCCTTGGGTTTTTGTCTGCAAAGGAAGACAAAAGTAGGTCTAAGCCTAGCTCCGGTAACTGTTCTGAATGTGAGCGGACAAAAACGACTGTGCTCTGTTGCACTGCAGACACGACTTGCCTGACTGTCTGGCCTAACTCCACGAATGTGCTGACAACTTTAATGAAAGCCTGCAAACAATTAACCAGACGCTTACCTTCTTCCTCAACAAAAGAGACAAAAACCATGCTTGAGAAACAGGACAGAACAAAATGGATAATATCCTGTACATCTCCCAAGTATGCAAATTACTTCTTGGTATCAAGAAGGCAGCCATCAGCCCAGCAGCATTTGAGATTACAAAAATGAAGATAACAAGACAGGGGCCAACTGGTTGCTGTGATGCTTCAATTTCTTACAGGCGTGGGCTCTAAAAATGGAAAAAGACAATCTTTTGTGCAGAGATTAGAGTAGAGCCATAAAGTAACAATACTCCAAGCTGCAGTCAGAGAACAAACGCATCACTCGCATGGATGTCTCAAGTGGGAAAAACACTAAAGCCAGTATACCAGATTAGTTAAACCATAGTAGTTATATGTCAGTAGCTCTCTGCATGTGTACTTACTTCATAGTAAAAATGCCAAACGTGGAGTTAAAATTATAGTAGTATAATTACCCCGGTAAAATTTCTAAGTTATACTCAAGCATGTGGCTCAATCCCTGTTTTGATCTGTGATCTAAGAGGGCCATTTTTCAACTGCTGATGAGAATTCAGTTTACTTAGGCCTGCATATACTTCTTGCTTCAAAATATATACATGGAAATTAAAAAGAATAACTTGAAAGGTTGTTGTTTCTAGGAGGGTGGTGGGTTGATCAAGAAGAAATTGGATCCAGATTCCTGTTTAAATTCTGGTGTTAATTATGTGGTGCAACTCCCTCTGAAATTAATGAAACTCTGCATATAAAAAAAGGTACAATTGAGCTATTTCTGCTTCCTCTGTTATACATGAAGGCTTTGCCAGTCTACTATAGCACAGGGATTATTTAATTATTAGAGGGTACAGTTACATCAGCAACCACTATAGGAGAGTCCACTCCAAAACTTTTAAGATGTTGAATGAAATTTTTAGCAAAACAGAAAATCCTTTTTACAAAAGGCACTTAGGTGCCCAGGGCTTTCAGTGAGCATAACACAAAATAGAGTTTAGGTTTAATTTGAGAAATTTGCCAAGCGCCTCATTTAACCTTTAACAGAAAACTTTCAAGTATGCCTTGGAGGAGGAGTATAACTGTCAAACTGTTCAAACAAGACAGTGCAAAAAAATTAGTACTCGCCTAATTTTAGCCATACTATATAGGAGTAAACCAGTGGCTTTTTCTTTTACCATTTGTAGACAGGAGTGTACAAAAAGGAAAAGCTGTGTAAGCCAAGCAGAAAAGGATAAAAACAATTCAAATTGATTCAAGAGTTCAGCTACCATGCACAAACTTAAGAGAAAACTAAGATTACTCAATATATTTTAGAGGAAGAGCCTGAATAGAGATCCTAGGTTCATACTCTCTTGAAAATTTAAGAACCCAGCTTCTGATTTTCCATGCATGCCCAGTTTAGCACTGGCACATTCAAACAAACATTGTCAGTGTATGCTGTAAATTACATTTATATTACACATACAGCTTTATTACATGATAGCACCGTAAAAGCAGAGATACAGCATTAATCAAGAAGTATTTATGTTGCTTTTCAATAGATGCTTTTAATAGCTGATGCTGGTTTTTCAAAGAGAAAAAGCAAAGCCTTTAACGTGACACAATTTAGATATTACATATATCACAAATAGATATCACAAATTAGGTACTGACACCTCAGCACTTACACAGTCTATTCTTTCCTTACAAGGGCAAGTGTCCAATACACTTCCACAGTGACAGGAAGAATAAATTCTGTTTTACTCTAGTCACTGAATCACTGACATGTAATAAATGTTATCCATCCTTTGGTAAATCATTTGATAAATCTCTGAAAAGAGCTTACTTAAGGTCAAAGCTTTTGATAGCAGGTCACATTTCCAAATACTTCTTTGCTTTAATTTCCCCGATTTAACCATATTAATAATGACAACGATTTGTAATTATTCTGTCAAATAAACAAATGGGCATTTCACTTGGAAAGCCTTTTCAGAATTGTTCAACACTGTTGGCTCTTCTGAACGGGTGGGGTTTTTTTCTTTACTTTTCAGCACTGTCTTAGAGAGACCTATCCAAAGCCACTGAGGCAAATGGGAATGCCTCTGAGGCCTTCACTGGGACTTGGATCTGGCCCAAACCAAATGGGTAGTAACGTTCAGTCATAAAAAGTGTTAGAGTCTATCTATTACATGAGCTCATTGTCAGTAATTAACGTGTTTTCTCTTTCCTGCAAGTGCCCATATCAAACAGAAGATACAGCCAAGATGCTCTATCTGACAACTTTACAAGCTGCACAGCACCCATGCCAGGCAGCAGATATAAAGAAGAGATTTATGATTCTGGCATCATGAAACCCAACAAAATAGAAACCAGGATTCAGTCATCTCACCACCTCATTAAAGAAGAAAACAAGTTAGCTTTTAACAGAGACCTACAAGAAAAAGTGAGCATTAATGAAAGTTCTTTTTCAAACTCAATAGCTAACTCCTTGTTGCCAAAATCGGAATGTTTCCAGTCTAAAGCTATAGGACAATTAAGTCATCTCCTGCCAATGCCCTCAGTATATGAGCAAACAAGAAGGATTTGTATGAAAGAACCCAAATATGGGCATATTAGTCACCATGCTACAAATCTCGATGAACTGGACAGCGATGAGAGAATGACTGTAAAGCTTGATCATGACTCCGAAAGCGAACGCGTGATGGATGTGAGACCCTCTGGACAAGTTCCATTTGTGCTTCTAAATTATCACCATGTTTTAGCCAAACACGGTACATTTCAAACTTCATCATGTACAGCAACAGGACATGTAGGAGAAAATTATGGATACAATTCCGAAGAAGTAAATACCTTTATTTACAAAAACCAAAGCCCCTCATCAGCTTCTTCTCCAGAAACCCACAAGGAATCTGCACTACCCCATTATATTGGAACTTCTGTAATAATAGCCAATGGAAGGTGACAGTAATAGAGGGGTATTTACATTTAATTAAGAAGCCAAACTGTAATGATTTGCAAAAAGCATGAGAAAACATGGTTACATTTACTGAGCATAGCTGAAGGTCAATGAGGGACAGACTCGTGTATTCCTGGCAAGCCACATATAACAGCACCTTCAAGGTCAGGAAAAAAACCTACATCTCGCTTCAGCGCTTCATCGTCACAGATCAAGCTCTGGTGCCAGTGAGAAGACATGTTACAGATCTTATTTTTGTTATTTTATAGTGTGCAACAGAATGAAATGATAGGTGTTATATGCAGAGATTTATATGAAGAACATTTTTTCCTTAACCCCCCCCTTCTCAAAATACATTCAAGATTTTTTTTATCATCATTATAAACTATACACTCTAGTTTAGCAATTTTGGACAAACTGTGTGAAACCTCACATCAACTCTCCACCCACGTGTTAAACATCCCGACAAATGAACTTTGTTTAAAGAGTGGTGATTTTTAGGATCCCTAATACAGCTGTACTAACTAAACAGAACTCGGTTTGGAAAAAGCTTATTTATTCATTTTCCAAAAGTCTTTAAATAAATCAAATCTAAATTTGATTTATTTAAGATAGATTTCAATGTTCTGAGATTGTTAGAACCACCATTTATCTTGACAAGGAATGGTATGACAAACGGATACATACAAAGACACCTATTAAAGGGTTACAGGTCTTGTCATGGCAAACTGGGACAAATCACGTGACAGGAACTAAAGACTAGTCCCCATAAAACACACGTTTCACTGAGTATTCTGGGAGAAGGCTGTGCAGATTTTTGAAAATCTGCAGCTAGTCAAAAATACATCCTAATAACAGCACCAGAAATGTTTTCTTTATAGTCAAGGGAATGAGGAACATTTATGCTTTATTTTAAACTTACCAGTAGCCTTCCAAAGTTTGAAAGGTTCGGCTTTTAACACACTGAACTTCCTTAAGCATAAATTTAATTGTCAACACAAAGGCAAGATTAACATTTGACTGACTTGTGCACTTCACAAATAATGTCTGTGGATAAGCCGAATACTGAAAGTCGAAAGTCGCTGCACAACCACAAACCCCAAAGTTGCACTTGAAGGAAAGCAGAGTTTGAGGACACCAGGGTTTGGAGCTGAACGCTTTGTGCACATCTCAATTTGTGCTAATAAACTGTAGCACACATTTACATTTCGCCCAGCCTATTAGGAATAGATTCCCTCCCCCCCCTTCTTTTACTTCTTTGTCAAGTTTACAAATGAAGAGACGTATGGATCCGTGTGTGTTTAATTGACGAGAGTCAGTCCGCTCTGTTTTTCAACCGCTTCCCCAAACACTGAGCGCTCTGGATAAAACACCGAATGGCTCCCTAAATAACAGCTGTGAATACCAACAATAAAGGCTGTTGCAGCCCTGAGTCAGCTATACTTAGCCATAGTTCTTTGCCCAATTCAAGGCAAATTTACACTTTTAAAACTTCCTCTCTTATCAGATTCTCTCTAAAGAGATCTTTGCTGAAAAAAATGCTTACCTGGCTTGTGCAATATGGAAAAACACTTGCTCATGGATTGCACCCTGTCAGATAAAAATGTAATGAAATACGCACTCTTAAAAATTATATGTTCTCCATCTTTTAGATCCAGCAATAATATTCAGTCACTTCCTTGTATGTATGAATATTTATTGCTATGAGTACACAAAATACTTTTGAAACATAAGTTTGAAAACAATTTTCAGTATTTTTGTTGCTTCCTATTAAAAGGTTAACAGAGGCGGCTTTATTATGAAGTTAAACTGATGTTCATTTGGAAGCTCACAGTTGTTTGGCTTTTTCATTCGCTAAAAAAAAGCATGAAAAATGTCTTTCGTGATAAATATAACAAAAAATACCTAATCAACCATCACCAGAATACTGACTTACAAAAAGAAGCAGCGGAACCAAACCAGCTTATTCACTCACTCAGCGTAACTGTGCTCCTCGGTTCGTCTAGCGCTAGAGAAGGTAGCGCGTCCGCAGAAGCGCAATGAGCGAGCGGTAACTGTCACGCTGACTTTATACGTTGAAGGGATGAGGCACACGTTGGTTTTACAGTGGCCCTGGTTAACAGCCTTCCTAGCCAGCGTTACTAATGAACGGGCCCAACACCTTGAAAGCTACAATTATGCGAAGACTTTTGTGTTAACTTTGTTAAATTAAAACCATGCCCTATAAAGGAGCGACCGACATTGTTTGCATCATTAAAAAGAAACCTGATGCACAACTCTCACACCACACTTTTCTCTATACCTCGTTAGTGGCATTGCTGCACGCAAAGTCAGTCTGGTGTTTTTTTCTGTTCTTCTAAGTACTTCTCGCTATAAAAACATGTTTTCAGGAACGTTCAAATTAGGCTTCGGCCAAAAAAATGCCATTGATATTTTTCAGTAAAATGCCACAAAATATTTTTCCAGCGTCTACCTTGTTATTCACACTTCCAGGCTTTATTCGGCGAGCCTGAGCAGAGGAGGTGTTCCATCATTCTCCCACAGATGTTTTACGGTATGTGATATTCGGGTACATGAACTTTCCCTGTTAGGCAATAATGGATCAATTATGCATTCACAGATGATAATACAGGGCAGGTTTTAGAAAAGACCTGTGATTAAAAAAGCAAATGTGTGAAACATTTTTCCCGCCATTCCAAAATAGAAACGGCCATCGCATGTTCACATCTGGAATGTGAGTAAATTATACTGAGAGAAAAATACGACTTTCAGTCAGTTAAACTGCAGATGTTCACAGCAGACTCGTACTGCAGAATGCAGCACAGCCATCGACAGTGGCAACGTTTTTAATAATTGGAAAAAAATACGGCACAGCAGTGGAGTGTGAATTGGAATATATTATGAAAAATAACCTCATTTCTCTCTCCCGTACTTGTCTGAGCCGCTCTAGGTACCTTTGCCATGCGACTCGATGGGATTTTAACTCTTAGGGGAGTTCAGGGCTAGCGGGGAAACAGCATGGGGGGAGAGGGAGAGAAGGAGAGTGAGACAGGCAGTATCTTACCAAAATGTAAAGTCGGAAATGTTAATCCCATACTGAGGTCTCAAGAAGTTTTCATCAAGAAGTTTTTATCCTACTAATAGAAACACCGCAATGTAAATAAGGTGATAAGGGAACAGCCTTCTCTCCAGGTCGCAGCAGCCCTGTAACTTGAAAAAGGGCATTAAAGCCATTCAAGGAAATGAAGCGCAATGGACAATGGATGCAAAACTGGAGAGTCTACCACTGAGGGAAAGTGCAAACAAATGGGAAACCTGCCAGAATACCAGTATTTCTCTAAAAACCACAAAACTGGACAGCAAGGATTTTTTCCACATTTCAGTCATACTTCAGAAACAACACTGAGAAAATGTTATTATTCCATTTTTTTCCTGAACGTTAGATTTTGCTTTTTTTTATATGATGCAGATAAAAGCTATTTGGCAAATGTAGGTGAAAAAGCACGCAAAACAACCAACCTATTAATGCTCAGAATTATATATGTATTCCCTAAAAATGTAAAGCATTTTTGCTTATTTATTATGTAAAACAAAACTGTTAAAATGTTAATAAAATCCTGTAGCCAAAGGAAAAGTGAGCTGGCTTGCTTTTTTACTACAAAACACGGGGTTTCACGAAGAATACTGTTGCATATTTGAAAACTTATTTCAATTGTAACACATGCCGCTTTTGACAGTTAACGGACTACAAAACAGAAGCATTTGTTTTTATTTTTTGTATTTTAGCCATGCTGCATTTTCAAAGAAGACTATGGGAGAACTGAAAATAACAGAGGCACTAATGAAACGCGCTAATGCGAGACACTCAAACGTGATGACGCTTCACAATTCTTCCCTGCGGTTCTTTTTTCTCAATCGTGCGTTACATGACCGCAACCGGCGGCACGCCATCATTTTTTGACCTCTGTTCTTTCCTCAGTCCGGATTTAATTTCTTCGGTGCCTGATCAGCGCGGTGCGTCACTGCAGTACCTTACGCATGCAAATGCTTTTATCAAACCAGTTACCCCCAGGAATCAGCTCTTCGCGGCACAATTTTTTTTCGTGACAGATATTAAGCTGCGCTTCAGGTTTTTTTTATATAGCTACTGTATATTCCAAAGGAGCTGCAGCGAGTAATTTTTTAGGCTGCTGATGCCTTGTAGCTGAATCAGAAAATGCAAAGGAAAAAAAATCACCGTACAGTGAAGGTGCAGCATAGAGAATTAAATGCTTTACTATTATTTCTAGGCAATAGCCCCTGATGTATGTGATATTTGTTGGATATATTTTAAAAAACACTCTGAAGTCTTATGAAATCTTTTACTAGAAGTGAGACGTACTGCTAGAACTCTTAAATGTTAAGTACGTGATTACTTTTTCAAACCTTTGGAGACCGCATTGGTGCTGACTGGGCACAGCCCGCTCGCTCTTTCTGAACACAGACACGTGCCAACACACCCAGCCTGCTCGGCAGAAGTTTGCCTATCGATAAACAATCTCTACAAATATTTTCATGGTGTGTAATGAGATATATTATAACAGAGTCCAGGAGGAAAAAAAATGAAGTCACAGAAATACGGACACCATAATAAATGTTTTTTGAAAGCACTTCATCAAGAAAATAGTTTAAGATATGACATCAGCCTCACAATGAAAGAGGTGTTGAACTAATCTAGAAAGCAGAATGAAATGAAACATTTTCAGTGCATTAATTCTGGACTTGGAGTTGTCGGATCCACTCCATTCCTACATCCAGAGACACCCTACACCACACTTGTCTCTCCTACGTAGAGAACAATAATCACAGTGATTTTCATACAAAAATGTTGCGGCTTTCTGGGAGCGCCAAGTTTGGCATAAAAAGAATAAGACCATTGGCCACGCTCCCCATCGACCTTAGAAGGTGAGCGCGGTATGGGAAGGTTCACGGGCTTCCTCGGCAGGAAGAGCTGCTGGACGGAACGACATTACGCAGCTCCTCACTACAGCAGGGGAATTTTCTTTGTGAAGTCCTCTGGTTCTTCCGAAGGCAAGGTCAGGTTTGTCACAAACGCTGCTTCATCCAACTCCAGGCTGTTTCCTCACGACGACAGGCAGTTTTGTACGCGCAGAACAGGCCACTGCGAAGTAGAGGCAAAGGGCTGCGTTCCCACGGCACCCACCTATGCCCCGACGCGTCCACGCTTGGTTAGTTATCACGTGTGGAAAGGAAGCTCAATGCTAAGTTTTCATTCCGGTGCAAAAATTTTCAGCATAATCTTACAACTCAAAGTGAGAATAGAATGAGCTTTTGGTTAAGAAGGCTAGGAAGAAATCCAAAAGGAACGATAGCAACCAGGAAATACTGCAGCATTTTACCATTAAAAATCCATCTGCCTGCTGTTCAGGCACTGCGGTAGCATAGCGGAGTGAAGGTTTTCAGGTTGGTTCTGCCTTTCTTCATAGACAAATATGTGTTACCATTTCCCCCGTCGTTCTTTTACAGTATTTGTCCCTAGCGAAGGGAGAGCGTGCTCTGAGGAAGCAATTCAAGTCAAAACCTGACACATGACCTGGTCGTTAAAAGAAATCTCTGCAGGCACTCATCAGCCTATCTGGAATATGAGCAAAGTCAAAGGTGCTTCCTATGGGCACACCCTTCAGGCCCAAAGCAGAGAGGGTGTTTTAGCTACAAATATTGGGTTGAGGTACAGATCTAAAGGTTTGTAAAACTCTGTCATTGCAAAAATACTACGAGCGCTTTGCTTTCCACATCTGACCTGCATCAGCATGCGCTGCTCATAGGCTGCTTGAAGGAAAAGGCAGAAAAGAAGTGACGAAGCACAAGGAAGACGTGGGTGTGCTTATGCACACACACATTTTTTATTTTTATATAAATATATAAATGGGCTCTTCTTTTTATTTAAACTTTATTAACTCAGACTCAAGTTCCATTTGATTATAACATGCATCAATATTTGATTCTGAAATAAAGGTAGCTGCCAAAAATTAACTGCCCAAAGCAGTTTTGAAAGCATCTGGTGGGAAAAAGCAAAAACTGGTGTTCGTGTGTATCACTTTAACTATGCCAATTAAGAGCTGTCTACGCTCCACTGTCCAATTCTATGAAATATTGGTCTGCGGTCTCATGCAATGCAGATCATGGGGGAAAACAAAACAGCAGGGTACGGACAACCAGGCACACAGACAAATCTACTGCGATATGGAGCATAAAATCCTAAGTGTAACAGGGACAACTTAATTTCTAGCACTTGCTGCCAAACCACCTAAACCCTAATATGTGAGGATTACTCTAAATTACCATTACAGACTAGCTTCCTTGTTTTAAGACTTCTTGGCTTTGTAACTGAAACAATCTACTAACATGTTCAGATTGTTTATGAGGTGAACTTTAACCTAAAAAACCCATTTCTGGCTAGGAGACAGAAGTCCTTTGTGGAAACCAATTTGGCTGATCCACCTTCAGTAGGGAGAAGGTAACGTAATAAGCAGTGCTGCCTACTTGAGGAAATGAAGCTGGCCACATCACACCTAGGACAAACTTTTCATTCGCAGAGAACCGTTTGAAATGCTGCGGTGGCCAAACCTCCTGGCGCAAATTCGCCTCGCCTGGGAGAAAAAACCGAACAAGCTGCCATTGCACGGAAGCTCCCACATGCCCACGTCCTGCTGCGTTCCAGTCCTGTGCAAGCTGTTACACCTAACCCTGAACTCTGCAGCCAGCCCCCAGAGCAAGCTACTTTCGGGTCAGCAGATGTTAAACCTCTTGCTTTTAATGGCTAGTGGCAAAACCAGACGCCCTGCTCTGGGAAAGGGGGTGACAGCAGAAACAATGGAAGAGAATTTGGACACAGGTTGACTACGTGTTTTCTCTTTTTCACTGTAGTTGTTGTTTACAGCAGGCAGGGATTTTTTTTTCCTCTTAATTAGTCACTTAACTTCATGACTATTGCAATAGAATTACTATTAAATTGTAAATTATTTAGACTTCCCTCTCCTGACATGGGATTCTACAATAACCTGCATAAGAGGACTGCAGCTAGGTGATACACTACTCCAGTGGGCTAGTCTTATGGGCCTCTTGGAAGACTATGATTCAAAGGAGATACAAGATGATTTACTCAGATCCAATTGACTAAGAAGAGCAGAGTACAAAAAATTTGAATAACTGACCAACAGTTCTTAAGCACTGATGGAAAACTCCCCAAAATCTTAAGGCAGCCATGACAGAGTTGCAGACCTGAGACCATAGCACAGGGTGGTAAACTGTTGTACAGGCCCACATGGAGAACCAAATCAGCAAGGCTCTACTTAGATCTGAATCTAAACACAGTGGTAATCCCAGGAATTCAGAAATATATGATGAGGTCTTCCAGCTGTTTCCACTGCAGACAACGCATACACCACAACTTAGTTTAAAAAAACATAGTAAAAATGTAAATATTGTACTGGATTGTGCTAAAGCACAATAAAACACAGAGCCACTTCGGTTTCTCAACTACAGTGTGTAATTGAAGAGAAAGTTCTGTTCATTGCAAGGCATTCCTTTGCGATCAGGTTCCTTTTAAAGAATAGATGCTTACAAAGAATGGCAACAGAGATGTGTTTTGAAGTTAATACGGAAGAATAAAGGCCTTCAACAACGAGATAATTACCTCTTCTTAACTGTTGAAGTTATCCATGTCAAAGAACAAAGATATCAGAAAATAGGAAGAAAAAAAAAATAATCAAGCCATCAACTACCCTTCCCACCTTTAAGCAAGTTTAGCTGCTTGGTGCCAAATACTAAAGAGCCTCCTTTTGCGCTGCAAGCTCTGAGGACTATTAATGCTTTGGGACTATGAGGTTTCTCAGCATGTCAAAAGAGTTGCCGTCTGGGTGCACAGACTCTACACCCTTGCCTTCTTCATGGACTTGAAGGAATCCATAATCATCTATCCCAACTATCCACGCAATCGGACCCTCCTCGTTGTGGAGACGCACTTGCTTACCACTGCAAATAAATAGAGTTAGGAATTAACTGTTGGTCACTGTGCAAACAACTAAAAATAGCTTAGAGGACTAATGTCTAGCAGAATAGCTGTATTTCCCACTTCACTGGTTCTTTACAGAGAATGATTTTCAGCAGCATTTTCTACCTGATTTAATTTTTTTCTGTGCAATTAACAGAGCTAGAGTTAATCCAAACAGTGAATTTTTTTTTGTAAAGGAGATGAGTACAGCAGCTTCATCACTAGCTAAACAAATCGCTCCCAATTCCCTTTGTCTTGGGATGATATGTGTAAAATAGCTAGAAGCATTCTTTAACTCACGCTATCTGTTGATTTTACTATGTGCTATTTTTATTTCCCCTTAAAAAATTACATCCTATTTGGGAGTATATTTTAATTAAGGCACTGGTTTTAAAGGCAATCTAGTAGAAAAAGTAGAAAAAGACAAAATATCCATGAGTTCTTTCCAACTTTCTTGAAAGAAGGTTCAAGAAGAACATTATACTTACCTGTGTACCCAGTACTTGTAGTAACGGGGAAGAACTCCATTGGGCCCTTTCTCCTGAAAAATATCTATAAGCCTCTCCAGCACAGTTACAGTCCTTGCGATAAGACAGTCTGTAGTTAAAGGCTTCAGCTTTGTCCCCTCTTCCTTATTAAATTTCGTGATGAGATCATTGATGCATATGGTGGGGTTGCTGTTATTCACGTTAAATCCCAAGCCTGAAGAAGACAAACCAAAAGAAGAGAACATGATCTGTAAATACAAACACTTTGTTACCAACAGGAAGTCAGTACTTTCTTCAACTACGCGATACAATTCTCGCTAAGGATGTTTCCGGTAGCTGTTTTCCCTCAGTCTCTTACACCTTTAAAGCTTCCTACTTGCGTAATTACAAACCACAGTCCAGATTTTACTTGTTTCTTGCCTTTAAAATGCTGCCTCAAAATTGTAGAAGCAAATCCAGTGCGGTCCTTTCAACAGCACACATCCTATCAGCGAGGCTTAGGAAGATGGTAAGCAGTAGCTTACGTGTTGGTTACAATAATATCAAAGTGAGAAATTCTTTTACTCTCTGGAAGCTGACAGGTCATTAGCTAATTGAGAGTAAATCACTGATCATACTCTAAGATGGAATTTTATCTTTCAGTCTAAAATTTAATTAAGAGACCTTTCTGTTTACTACAGTTAGCTGATCACATTTTCTGAAAATTAAGCCTTTTTACTCAGCTGATAAGCCTTGTTTGGCTTGCTCTGAAAAGCCCAGAAGATTTACATTTGCCATGTAAGACTCCAGTTTACTTAACCTATCTTACCACAGCATATCCTTTAGAAGCCTCAAGTCTCTCACTGAGATTTCTCCAGCTAGAATAACGTTGGCAGAAAGCCTTTCTTATTTAAACATGGCTCTTGGGGCCTTTTTTGCAGCCTGCTGAAACAGGCTTCGAGGTATGTAAAGAAATATATTGTATTACCTGTTTATTTTTTTCTCCTAATAATTTGGGTTTTTCTTTCCTCAGACATTTGGGATAAAATCCCAGTCTGTCAATCAGGTTTAGACATGATACAGCTCCATCTGCAAGACGGTCCAGATGCACTGTTCTGTAAAATTCCTATTTAATGAGACTATTCATATATGGAAGTAATTCGTATCGACTGTGAGGAGAAGGATCTCTTCAGTGAAAAGGAGTTTTTGACTTTTAACTACTCAGAGAACGGATGCAAAGAAAGCCGCAGTGGTACCAGTACCAATACATAGATCCTATGGAAATGAGGAGAATCGTGTTACCAGAAAGAGACAAAGGAAAATGAACTGGAAAATATAATGTGCCATCCCAACTCAGCCGGTTACCCTCAAATATGGTACAAGCGAAGAGAGAGTGACCGTAGCCATTGCACTGTGATTGGTACTGTCAGGGTGCACAGCGCGGGCTCAGGGCACTCAGGCATGTGTGTATGGAGATCACTACATAGCGATCCAAAAACTGACACGGACACGACAGACATACTGCGATGACGAGCTCCGCTGAGGCAGAAGCATCTGGGGATAAATGCGGTGGCAAAAATGTGGCCAGTTAATTTGAAAAAAATATTAGGTGCTCAGGACTCTTAGGGAATCTCTGCATTGCCCATGTGAGAAGAGTACAAAATAAACATTTAGCACCGACCTTGCAGCATGCTGGTGTGGCCAATACATCTTCCAGTTCCAGGGCTAGCCCTGCCTTCAGCATCTGTGCGCTGGTCAGACATGCCTTAGCTGCACACAGAGGCAGACAGAGCTTTAGCAGGTCAAGCACGTTGGCTGTCCCTTGCATTCCAGCTGTGTTTGGCTACCTGTGTCTGTTCTGAGCCTAGCCCTTACATTGATGAATTATGTTCTGCAGAGCTCTTCTTCCAAAAGTCCCACAATAATTCAGTTCTTAAAAAAAGGTTTTTAAAAACATGTTTAAAAGTATGAACATGAACTGTGTCATCTGTGAGGGCTTGAGTACATGGTACAGGTGAAAAGGCAAGTTTGTCTCTTGCCTTATTCTTCTGAGGTACTTCTCAGAGCAGTGAAGCCATGGAGATGATCTTTGACTTTGATAATTTCCCTCACATATGGAATCCTCTTCATGAGTGTCATGGAAACACTGAGGTCTAAGAAAGGAATCTCCATGACTGTAGAAAGGGGATGATGCGTCAGGCTTACCTGTCCTGTTGTAGAAGTTTGATCTCATTGCTACCTCTATTACAAGAAGTTAGATGTCACAAGTCACCCCTACTACGCTCAATGACATACATCACTGAAATGACGGAAAAGATCCTTGGATCCTGTATGGCAAGTAACTTGCAATCTTAGAAGCTTCCAGATGAAAGAAAGTTGATGAAAATGTACGTCTTTGCATATACCTCAGACCTGTCACCACCAAGATGGCTCCTAGGGACACAGAACCATAGAATGTTTTGGGTTGGAAGGGACCCCTAGAGGTCATCTAGTCCAACCCCCCTGCAGGAGCAGGGACACCGCTAACTAGATCAGGTTGCTCAGAGCCCCGTCCAACCTGGCCTTGAATGTTTCCGGGGATGGGGCCTCCACTACCTCTCTGGGCAACCTGTTCCAGTGTTTCACCACCCTCATTGTAAAGAATTTCTTCCTTATATCCAGTCTAAACCTACCCTGGTTTAGTTTAAAACCATTACCCCTTGTCCTGTCACAGCTGGCCCTACTAAAAAGATTTTCCCCCTCTTTCCCATAGGCCCCCTTTAGGTACTGAAAGGCCGCAATCGGAGAGAATGCATACAGAAAGTTTCCACTCGAATTTGAATGTTTTGGTGTTTAGGCTAAGAAACACAAGGTCCAAAACAAATTTGTAACGTGCAAAGAGATATTTAATAAGGTGAACTATTTTTGGAGCCATTTTTGCTTTTCTTGCGTTAACTGGAACAGGCTCTACTCCGGAAAAAACTATGGAAGCAGTAAATGGTTGATGGGTCACAGAGACTCTTTTAAATGGCTTGGTGCAACTTCCATTCTGTACATGTAGATTATCTACAAAATGAGGATATAACAATCAAACAGAAAATTTAATGGCTGGGCACACTTCACAGAAGGAGGTGATGATGACTACAACCGTTTTGCTTGTTCGTGCCTTAGAATTTACAGCACCTTGACAGAAGCGATGCAATGCCCACACTCCCTTTGCAAGACTCTTATCTACTGTGCTACATTCAAATATAAACCAAATATTATCATCTTCTTTAGCCTTTTAGACTTGCTAAGGAACTTTCATTTAATTTTTTAGACATACCACAGATAATTATTTTTGGAACCAGAACCTAGATCTCTGCTGGCGGGTTTCTAAGCGTGTCTGACAGATCTGTGCTGCTGTTGGTTAGGGGAAAAATTTTCCTTAACAAATAGCAGGATGACTAGCGGACTTGAAACAACAGAAACATCTCAATACATATTTTGTGCATCTAAGTATCTTCTCCTGTGACAGCACTGGGACTTGCTGGAAAATACACAGATACTCTTTTTGAGACTGGCCACGCTACCTTCCTTGGAATCAGTCTTCCAGGCAGACTGTGCATCTTCACAATAAACAAAAAGACGACAGTCCTTGCTCCCCCATCCAGCCATCCCAACTATGTTGCAAATTTTACTTTTAGAGAGGACTAAAGAAAGTGAATTAATAAAGTTAATTAATCAAATCATTACTTCACTGCTGCTTCACTAGCAACATTCCAGTTTCTAGAAAGGTATCCACAGAAACAAGTTATGAATAAATTTAAAAAGGATGAAAGGAGAAAATAAAACATTACTGTGGGTACGTAGCTCTTTTCCTCCTGATTTAAAAGGCAGGTTATTTATTTAACTATTTGGCACGTTGCAAAAAAATGAAAATCAAAAAAAATGGATACATTTTTCAATATATTTTACTAGCTTTGCAATAGATCAAGGAAGACATTTTCCCTCTCTCCTGTAATGCTCTTTCTTTGAACTCCACTACACCAGCCCAGATGCCTGCATTTATGTTTTCCTTGTCAAGCATATGGAATTATGAAGAAGAATGAAAATATTTACTTTCTGTGCTTCCTTTTGATTTAATATTGTGCTTTATTTCCTTATGCCAGCTGTCATTATTTGTTTTTGTCCTTATCATTTGAACTCATAAAGACATTAACAACAAATTTCTTGACAAAAAGACAGTGTAGAAAAGCTTGAAAATAGACATTTACCAACAAGTATATGAAATGTTGTTTCAATAAGTGTAGAGTTTACCAGAACTCCACCAAGCTTCATAAGATCACTGTAGTAAATATCATTTGGCCATTTCACTCGCAGATCAATATCCTAAAGAAATAAAACATACATTTAGAAACACTTTGCTCTTCGATACTGATTTTAAGAACACGGCTCATTCATCACTTCGCATTCTATACCTTCTGTACCTCTTTGCCACACCGAATGTGATACTGTCAACTGCTCTTCACAATGAGAACCTATTTAAGTGCTCCACAAAAGTTATTGAAAAAGTCACAGTAACATGGTTACATGATTTCCTAAGGAGGTTGGCAGCTGTCAGAGAAAAATAAATAAATTTTTAAAATTTATGGCAGATAATAAAGGTTTAGAGCAACCAAAAGGGGGATGAAAGATACTAGAGATTTTCAGTCTCAAAATTGTGAGGTTTTATAGAATTCATTTCCTTTGTTCATGAGTGCCTACTGAAGATGTAAAAGATCTATTCAAGAGAGATGCAAACCGTGGCAGCCACTGCTGCTTGCGGCTGATAAACAATCAGGGGAAGCCCACAACAACATCGACACTGTATTTGAGGATCCTTGCAGAAACCAGACAAGGAGACAATGACATCTTGAATTTCAGAAAGGAAATTTAGCAGACAGGAGAAATTCCAGTTCACAACTATGTAAATACTTCAGTAATGTCCTAAATGTATTCACGCTTTCGGCAGCTATGCTCAAGCAACACCATGGGGCTGGAAACACAAACTGTGCTGTGTGACACCATTCCAGTGCAATAGAGAAGTTTTTGTTGAAACCACAGAACTGAACTGAACTTCGCACCGGCTACTTAAACACAGAAAGAAAGCAAATGTGCTTCCTGTAGTTTGAAAAACTGCATATGACTGTATCCCCAGAGGCAAATTATGGGAGGTGCTCCAGGACTACAAGAGTCACATTCCCTCCTATTGTAGATTATGAAATCCCTTTACAGGATGTGTGAAAACTGCACCTGGGTCCATGTCTACTTTCCTGACAGATTTAAAAGCCAGAAAGGAGTCCATTACACGTACATTGACAGGAAATACTACCTGATTTTGCCATCAAAGCATTCTAAGAGAGAGTATCACCAATTCATATTCATTATGGAAAACAACTTGACTCCTCACTGGGACAGGATTTATAGAAGATTCTTGAGACACGCGAGGTATGACACAGTTAAACGGTATTATCAGTGTTAAGAGATCTTCCACAGAGCTATTCAGTAGATCTTACTTAAGGAAAATGTACACCTGTAAGACACCAGACACTAGCTCTGCAACTGAAGTGACAGCAAGCATGAAGAATCATAGAATCATAGAATCATAGAATGTTTAGGGTTGGAAGGGACCACTAGTGGTCATCTAGTCCAACCCCCCTGCAGTGAGCAGGGGATCTGCTATCTAGATCAGATTGCTCAGAGCCCCATCCAACCTGGCCTTGAATGTTTCCAGGGATGGGGCCTCCACTACCTCTCTGGGCAACCTGTTCCAGTGTTTTACCACTCTCACTGTAAAAAATTTCCTCCTTACCTCTAGCCTGAACCTACCCTGTTCTAGTTTAAAACCATTTCCCCTTGTCCTAACACAGCTGGCCCTATGAAAAAGACGTTCCCCATCTTTCCTATAGGCCCCCTTTAGGTACTGGAAGGCCGCAATCAGGTCTCCCCGTAGCCTCCTTTTCTCCAGACTGAACAAGCCCAACTCTCTCAGCCTGTCCTCATAGGAGAGGTGCTCCAGCCCTCGGATCATTTTTGTAGCCCTCCTCTGGACCCGTTCCAACAGTTCCATGTCCTTCTTGTGCTGAGGGCTCCAGAGCTGGACGCAGTACTCCAGGTGAGGTCTCACCAGAGCTGAGTAGAGGGGCAGAATCACCTCCCTCGACCTGCTAGCCACACTCCTCCTGATGCAGCCCAGAGTACGGTTGGCCTTCTGGGCTGCCAGCGCACAACAAGAACAACCAAGTCAACCGGGTATTCTCATGATGTAGACTGCACAGCTCAGATTTTGCCACAAAATGGAGTTACAAGGTACTGCACAACTACCCATGTGTCAAAGAAATGATGGGCGTTGCAAAATAGGCTGGAAATGGAGCACGACCCTACCTTCACTTACTCGAGAGATGCTTGCTGTTCTCAGAATGGGAAAGCAGATATGAGTGATAAGACATATCGCTCTCTTGATATGAGGCCCATTCACATTTGCAGCACTAACATCTGACAGCAAAACTTCCAACTGAGCCGTCAGATTTTCTCAGTCATTGCTTGTTTAGCCCAGTCAACATTTGTGGCAATCCTAAAAATGATGACTGGCTCATAAACTGAGGCATAGGTATTTCAGGTTTTTGAATGAAAAACCTGAAATGGACTTGGAGCATAGTGAACAACATCACAGTGTGTTTGTTAAAGGCGTTTGGACAGGTATGGTTGGGCTCAATGATCTTAAAGGTCTTTGCCAACCAAATGATTCCATGATTCTATAAATTAAAGTACTATTCAGCTTCTGATATATGGCCACAGAGGTATGGAAATTTGGAGGAGACTGAAACCTCACCTACAGATCAGCCCACTGTTTGCAGTTCCTGGAGTTTGCATGGCATGGATGTTCATCTGACATAAAGAAAAGCCCAGTGTTACCTACATCTAAAGGGGAAATCTAAGGATTGAGTTTCTGATAAATCGTTGAATTTTCCTTGCTTTAAAATATTTGAGTCCAGACCCTTAACATTGTTTTCACCCATTGTCTAGGGTGGACGCACTGTTAAAAGACATTCAGTAGCTCTGTCTTGGTCCTAGCAAGCTACGTATTGTACACGTGCTACGTACAGTACATGTATTATTGACACATACCATTTTTATATTAATATTTAATACTTCAGTCACCTTTTTCCTCTTGAATGGAATAAAATAAAAAATGCCACAGTGTACTCCGGGTAGGTGTACGGAAGCGAAACCACCTCCATTTGTAAATTAACTCCTTCCCCAGTCAGACTCATATTTTATAAAACTAACTCTTGTCCCTTCTATTTTACATGGTTAAATTATTCACTCTAGCCAAATATTTTATATTGCAAATTTTAGCCTGAAGCATTTTGTTTTTATAGTCAAGTTATGAAGCACTGAAGTTAGAAGGTTTTAATAGAAAAGCTGACAGACCCTAAACTACAGCAAAGCTACTGGGTGCCACTATAATAAAGTTCATGTGTAAATGTGTATAAGTCATTGATTTTCTGTAATATAGGAAACATATGCTTTAGTTAACTACTTCTGTAAAATACCAAAGTTTTATAGTTAGCAAATATTAGGAAATGGTAACATTAAAAAGAAGATATATGAGGTGATGAAGAAGACTGGTTCTTCATTTTAATACTGATGACAGGACACTTGATTCCCTCTTGAGAGCAATACTCCTAAGTTCTTGCTTTAGAAATCAGTTTTCAACCTTAAACAAGGGTTGGAAAAATCCTTTAAAAGGGATAAAGTGACCACTGAAACAGCACCAACAAAAAAAGCAGAAAAGGATTTGTCAGTTTTATTCATTTTTCCCTCCTCCCTCTTCCCTAACTCCTTCAAAATCAAAACAAATTAACTCAATTGTTAGACAAACAAAACTGACGTTTTCTTTACTGCTGAAGACCGAGTCTTAAGTTTCGTAAGATTATGAGTGAAATGAATGTAGTCTACTTAATCAGCTCAGTAAAAGACAGTATTCATCATATGTATACTAGATTTCTTAAAACATATAAATAATCAAGCATGTAGGAAGGCTAAGTTTACCACTATATTAGTGCTGAAGAATATATTGTGCATTCAGTCATTCAACACACAGAAGACATAGTTAAAACCTGAATTTAATGAAAATAGAAACAGGAATTTGGAGATAAATTAGAATGACATACTTCATATCCTGGTATTGATCTAACTGACTCTACCACTGCCAAGGACACCAGGTGTTGAATAAAAGGAATTCTCTGGCCGAGGTTAGAATGTAAAGGAATGGTGATATGTAAGGTGGATAGTGCACAGCCCACAGGACTGAGCCAAACATTTCCACCACGACCTGAGGAAGGAGAGAAAAAAAGTTAATTCCAACTCAAGAAAAAAATATTTATAAAAAAGATCACTTTGTTAATGTAGACAACTACAAAAGAGAAAGATTCAATAGTATCCACCCAAGAATCTACCAGAAGTCCTGTAATGGAGTTTCCAAACTAATTTTGAAGGAAAAATGGCAGGCTGTTTAACGCGCATGCTGCTACACAGTTTCCTAGGATGTCCTAAATGACTTGCTTCCAGGATTTTCCTGGTACCTGGTAACCTAAACATTTCAAGAAATCTTGCTTTGTTTAAGTGAAGAAGTATTTGTGAAGATGCTCTGTGTGCATCTAGAAATCCATCCACATTGTCAATCAACTTGACACAAGCTAGATCGGTACCGAAAGCCTGGTAACCATCTTCATGTAGATCCGTGCTCAGTAGAGCTTATTAGGCTGGGCACTGTGTTCTTCTAATAAAATGATCGTGGCTTTTAAATCAGTGCTAGCACCTTCCTGAGAAAGAGACAGAACTTGCTCATATTTATCTGCAAAAGATTGTGAAAGCCCACATGACAGCTCAGGCAGGTCCTGCAGACTCAAGAAACCTCTATTTCAGAGCAAGTCAAGACCTAGTCTTGTTCCAGTTAAGCCAAAAAGGAGTTCTGACTTGAAAGTCTGACTTGTATTACACTAAATGTAGCGATGGCAGTTTCCATGACTGGGGAGACTTTTGGCAGAAACTAGAAGACCACTAAATCAGTTCTGCAAAAGCCACCAAACATCCTGAAAATGTTTACTTTGGTCTCTATTAACTTAGGTTTTGAGTTTGAATCCCCAGTTCAAGTGGGAGGAGAAGAGGACATGATTATTCTACAGATTTTATTATGAAAAATACTCATAATGTATCTTTAAGCTGCTAGGTGACATTAAAATGTCCTATTTCATATGTTTAATGCACATTTATTAGCACTAGAAGGAAACTTACCTTTCCCTCGTGTTTGTCGAACAGCAATTGCTATTAAACCCATCTCCTCAGGCAACTCGAACATTAACCTGCCAATTAGGAAAAAAAAAAACCCCATGCTTATCAGCTGGAACACTAAGCTACATTCATAAAAATCTAGGCTTAAATATCAGGTAATATTTTATGTTAACATTGCACGACCATTTATCCATTTTCACTTAACATTTATTCTTGACCAAAAAGCATTAGAATATTAAAAAAAGATTAACTGAAAAATGATCATGTAAAACATTACTGTATCTATTACGCTGGAAAAAGTTATAGCCATAGTTCATTTAAGGTGCCTTCTGATAACATACGGTTTGTATTTCTTCACGTTTTCTTGAAGTGCTTATTCTTTGCGTGTCACTATCTTCAGTAAGTGACAACCAGCGATTCCAGACATTTGTTTCTACTTACAGCAAATTTTTGTTCATACTACAGAATATAAGGGCAGCAGTTTCTGATTATTTAGAAAACCAATATGGTGGCAATAAAGCAGTTTAAAAGATACACTATCCCCTGAGAACTAATTATGATTTAACTACAGTAAATAAATCTACACCTTCTGAGAACTCTAGAGAACACTGGCTTATTTTAGGTTTGTGTTCTGCTTTTAAAATAGTTTCACTTAAAAGAATACTAACTTTCCTCTGGGGATAAGTAGAAAGTGCACTTTAACACCGCCAAATGAGTCAATGCTAGACTTGAAAAAAAGAAGAAAAAAACCCTACTGTGAGAACTTTGTTCAAGCCACTTTAAAACAGATCTGAACTGTACTATGAACCTCCTCCATTTCACATTTTCAGGAAGAGTTATTTAACAGATAAAACAGATATTCAAGATGTTGCCAGCAAGGTAAACCCAGAAAGTGATTTATAGCCGACAAACCTACTTCTAATATGGGCACAAACATCACGTTGTTCATTCATATAAAAGCGATCTTGTCTTGGAGATAAGTGCAGTCCAAATCAGCAGAGAGTACCGTTCAAAATGATTTCCTCGGAATTTCAGATACGTATGAAAGGTGTTTCAAGTTCTGCAATCAAGCAAGTATCACGGGGCAGTAGACACCAGCTGCAAGCAGAAGCGTCCCCCTGCCACTCACAGACACGTCTTTAGGCAGGCGGCAAGCTCAGCAACTACCCATCCCTCCTGCTTCGCAGGTTGAAAGGCAAGGCATCATTAGCTCTCGGGGCTGTAGCGGTAGCAAAATGCAAGTAGGATCCCCCAGGTTTCAAAGTATCTTTCAAATGGCTGGCTTGCTTTCATGATGATCAAAATGGGAGGTTACTGGAGGGCCCAAGAAAAGCCCGGACCACAAATGCCTTCAGTAATTAGAAATACTCGAACCCAGACTCACAGAAGCCGTAACAGGCTCCACAATGTTTTCCCACCTTACTCCTGAATCGGTGAGATGTTGTCAAAGAGCAACAGCTGGAAGATCTCTTTGCCAGCCCCCTTCCTGTTCACATGAAATACAGCTCGATAATTCTTTCCTTTGGACCCTATGGATGACACACTGAGACCAGGCTCACCCGCCTACCGCCAGCCTTTAACATTAAAAAAACACCTCTTCTTATGCTGGTACCTAGGGGAAAATCCTCTCTACCTCATGAGGCTTCATCCCTGTCTTCTGGGAACAGCATGATTTCAGTGACAACACCAAGTTCATGGTTTTGCAACATGAAAATCTAATTTAGATTTGGAAGCACAGTTAGGAAGAGATTACAGGCTTTGTCGAAATACACCGATTTCTGTTACTTCTCCATTTACATATTTGTTTTTAAATAGGAAAAAAAGAAGTCATGTGCTGCCATGATGGGAGGAAAATAATCAGAGCAGGAAAAAAAAGCTAATTATGAATCCAAAACACAGGCTTCTAGAACAAAGAGATATGATTAACAGAACGTCTGAATGTAGCTATTAGAGGCTTGGCAGCAGGTAACAACATATTAAATGCAGAGACTGAATGTGTACTTTTAAGGGCCATGAAGAAATTCTTTAACGGACTGAACATGGGGAAGTTGTTAATACCCAGACTGATACAGCAAGAGACAGATAGATTTATTTTTACTACTTCCTGAGATTGTGCTGGAATTGCCATGAAGCCTATGATAATAAAAAACCCCACACAACTGCCCCCCCAAACTTCAGAGCTTTGTAAATTGTGTGTGCTTGTTAGTTTTTTTTCTGGGAGAAACAACTTGGATTTTCTTTACCAGAAAGAGTAACTGTACGTGCACTTTTTTACATATTGACTTCCCTTCTTTTCTTTCAACTTAATCACTTGCAGATTTAACAATTTCATTTTTCTGCAGAGCGACTTAATCACAGTGCTCACCACATTTTCCCCCTGAAATTTTTGCCTCCAAGAAATTCTCTGTTCTTTTTTGTGCTCTTTAACTAAGTTGCTCTACATATTAAGTCAAAGGACCATACTGAGATACAAGAGTAGGGAAACACGAAACATCTGAAGACAAATTTACTCATCAGGAAGAATTATCAGACGGCACCTATATGACCATAGAAGATGACACCAGAATTTAATGTAAATTTTTCTTTTCTGCTTTGAACATTTTTGTGGTATTTTCCAAAACGTGAGCAAGGCACTTTTAGGGTTCAAGAATATTAAACCAGATGAAATATTAAGAGAGAGATTCTAGCACAATTTTTATACACCACCACCTGCCCCACCCCGTAGTGCATACTATGAATACTGTCAAGACTAATAAACAATACTTAATTGTTTTATAGAAACTTCAAGTCTAAGGAGGACTCTGTCTTCATGGCGAGTCAACACAATGACTTTTCTTCGTACATGAACGTAAAATGGGAATTGAAACCACAAAAACGATGTTTGAATAATGTTAACGGCCTGACAACTATAAATTTCATTGATGTTGTGGGTTTAAGGTTGAAACTCTCATTAATGCATCCTGCTGTGTTACAGTATTGCAGAGGTATTACAACAGGCAGCATTACATTCCAGATGTTAAAATACCTGGGCATAAGAGGGTAAGTTATGAACAGATTTCTCCCTTCACTTCAAGTTCCTTGTCTGAAAATCTCACTCCTAGATAGCTTGTTTATAGAGTATTATAAAAGCAACATTAAAAAAACCTTTCAATTTTTAGTCAAATGGAAAGGAACATGCCGTCTGACCAGTTTCTTGTATTATTCTGGACAAAAAAGTGCCCTGAACACTTGCTTTACTACTTCATATCTACTGTTTCTGTCCATTATGTCCAACATGAAAATGAGCAGTGCGCCTACTGATATTCTTCCTGAATTCTGCTCCATTGCCCTCCATTTCCTTTCCATAGCCCTCAGCTGCATGATGCTGTGTCTGATTCCAAGCTCTGCATGTGGAATGGCCTGCCAGAGGGCGTGCTGGCCAAGCAGAATTAGCCAAGCAGAGTCCACACTGCAGACTCCTTGGTGGCAGCACTGATCTGGGTCTCTCTCTCTCCCACTTGGAAGCCTGTTTTCATGAGACCGTGAATACCTGAAGGAGCTCAAAGATATGGAGGTCTTCTGAAAAACAGGTGGTAGACTGACTGAGAGCTAGTGGGCCACTATCAGAGAAGCCGCCAAGAATGACATCACAGTGGGAGTCTGTTACAGACCACCTAATCAGAAGGAGGAAGTGGAAAATGTCTTTTTGAGCAACTTGAGGACATCCGATCACAAATCCTGACTCCTATGGGAGACTCCCACCTCCCAATATCTGCTACAAGGCAAAGAAAGTGGGATGCAAGCAATCCAGGTGACTTGCGGGGGATGCTAGGGACAAAGCTCGTAACACAAATATCAGATGATCAACTGGAGTGATGGACTCAATCTGCTGCAAACAAGGGAGAGCTGACTGGGGAGGTGGTAATCTTCAGTGGCTTTGGCCGTAGCAACCCTGAACCAATGCTGTTTAGGATCCTGAGTGGAATGAGGAAGGCAAGTAACAGAGTACAAACCCGGGATTTCTTGAGAGCAGAATTCAGTTTATTCAGGGACCTGATAGGTGGGATCTTATGAGAGGCAGCTCTGAAGGGCAAGGGAGCTCAACAGACCTGGTCTTTAAAGACAACCTCCCACAGACAAAATAATGGTCCATCACAATACTGAGGAAAATAAGCAGATGCACAAGGAGCCTGGTTTGGCTAAAAAGGGAATTCATGGCTCTAAAAAGAATGTAGAAAAGAGATGGAAGCAAGGAGAAATGCTACAAAGGAGAAATACAAAAACACTGTCCAGACAAGCAAGGATGATGTTAGGGAAGCTGAAGCTCAACTTTAGTAGAGATTGGCAAGAAATATGGCAAACTTCTACTGCTATGTGATAAGAATAAACAAGGAAAACGTGGGCTTGGAGCTGACTTGAGGCAAAAGCACAGCAGACACACATAAGGCTGAGTTACTCAATGCATTCTTTGCCCCAGTCTTCATCAACAAGGTCTCTCAGGCCTTTACACATACAGACAGGGTTCAAGGATAAGAGGAAATACCAACAGTAGAAAAGGATTGATCTCATAAATCTCTTGAGAAATCTTGTCTCATACAAGTCCGTGAGAGCAGATGGAATACATTTGAGAGTGCTGAGCGAGCTGGCTGATGGGACATCAAGCCTGTTTTCTATCATCATGGTTATGGAGATCAGGGGAAGTCCCAGATGAATGGAGAAGGGCAAATGTTGCAACCATCTTCAAGATGGTCTTTCACAGCACCCTTGTATTCAAGTTTGGCCATTGTGGTCTAGATGCACTACCAGATGAGCAAAAAGTGTCTGGATTTTGGGATTGAAGAGTTATGGTTTGTACTCTACCTGCAGGATGAATACAACTGCAGTTGCTCAGGGCTTTATCCTGAGACCTATGCTATTTAGTATCTTAATATCTTTACCAATGACCTGTAGGAGCAAATGGCATGCACATTAATCAAAGTTGTGAACAACATTGAACTATGAGGATAACTGAGCATTGGAATAGGGTGCCCAGAGAAACTGTGGAATATTTCTGTCCTTGGATGTTTTCAGGATCTGACTGGAAAAAGCCCTG